AATTTCTAAACTAGAACACTTGTTTAGGACAAAGTATACATTTACCAACTACAATCACACTTGGTAAATATAAATGGGAATATATATACATCTATATACATACATATCTAGTAATGTTTTATTATTAGACCTTGAATTGAGAATGATAAAGTTTACACGTGCTTTTGCAAATAGATTAGAACTTCAAAGGTGCAGGCGAGTAACATAAACATGTAGTATATTGGCAAAAGGACTTTAAAACTACATCACTAACCATATATAAAGGCACATGATATCACTATGTACTACCTGCTCAAGATCCTCGAATTTCTACTTCCTTAAGTCAAAGTCACCTGTCTCAGTAAGCAATTTTTAATAAAACTTAGGTATTGAAATATAACTAAAGGTGGCACTGTTGCCTTATGTTAACCAGAGGCCAAGCTTCCTAAAAATTCATAACACAAATATCTTAAATTGTACATAGCTGTATTTCAGGCCTGACTTTTTATAATGAGTTATACAGATGTGAATTTTTTGAAAAATTATATATTTTATTTTTCATAGAAATTAAATGTTGAGCGTAAATGAGTAAATGAGGCAACATTTCCATTGACTTCAGGATGTACATAAAATTTTAAATTAGGTCACCAACATAGTAATGAAAAAAATCACTTGACCAATTTATTCTTGATATAGTATTTATAATTGAAAAGTAAGCTAAGTTATAATTTGAAAACATTAGTCAATGAATTTTTCTAAAATATATCATACTCTCAAAATTAAAGTTTGTAGGTTCTGTAAATATAATTGGCTCACAGAAGTTGACATACTGATATGTTTTAATTTAAACAAATTGGCTACCTAAAAATCCACATCTACATACATGATAATAGAGACTGATTATTGTGAATTCAAAAGCTGCTTAACTTTCAAAAAGATTGGACAACGTATTCTTTCAAATAGAAAATTTTCCTGGTTTATTTTAAATACAATTCAATTCTGAATTTCTTTGTTTGCTGCTTACAGCAACGAATGTATTACAGAATGCAGGTGTAATTTAATTTTAGCAGCTGCTCATTCACACATAAAATTGTCAAATGTGATGTCAAAAAGGAAGACATATAATTACTCCCGAAGACTTATTTTCTACATGATAATGACAACACCATTTTTTGAGTGCTACTAGGTTCTAGAAATTTCATATATATTACCCTGAACGTTCACAACAACCTTGAAAGATAAAAGTTACTATTCTAATTTTATGGGTGATAAATAACCCAGCCTCAGGCAGACAAACTTAGGGTGGTTTATCTAACTATGTTGTATTTCTCCACTTAATATTTCCTTTTAATAACTTAATTCATATTATTAATTTTGTACCATTACCCAACTCTATGTTTTCACACTATTCTCTTTCATTAATTATACTACCCTGTTCCTCTGAGATCTTAATATTTTTCTTTGGTTTTCCTCTAGGATTTTAACATTTATTCATTAATATATTGAATATGATAGTTTGTTATAGTGGTTTGTTTACTGGAACTCTATGTGCATTGGACAACTTAAATTTAGAAACATAAAAGATCTTAAGGAAAAACATAAAAGCTTTCATACAAATTTTTATGTTCACTGAAGAAATACAGACAGCTCCCTAAATAAATACATTTATCAAGGACAAAATAAAGATCCGAAATTGGTACTACCATATATATATATATTTTTTTCCTGTTCAAAAGCCCTTGCCAGATAATTAATTCCCATTCAAGATCCTAGCTATGGCAGTAACTAGCTGTGTGACCAGAGGCAAGTTACATAAATAGTCTGTGCCTCAGTTTTCTAGTGTGTAAAATGATAATGGTAATATCATCTGCCTCTTAGTTTTATTGTGAGGATTAATTGGGTCAATATAGATACAGCCTGAGGGGGCCTGGCCGGTGATGTAGTGGTTAAGGTCGCGCACTCTGCTTCGGCAGCCTGGGGTTTGTGGGTTTGGATCCCAGGTGCAGACCTACACACTGCTCATCAAGCCATGCTGTGGCAGTGTCCCACATATAAAATAGAGGATGACTGGCATAGATGTTAGCCCAGGGCCAATCTTCCTCACCAAAAAAAAAAAAAAAAGCCCTAAGAAAGCATCTGGCATAAACGTTAGCAGCTACTACAGGACCACCATCACAACTATGGCAACACTACTGGCTAGAAAGTCTCTAAGAGCTTACATGGTACAGTGGAAAGATTCTGGGCTTTGGAGTAAATCAGATTTAGGTTAAAACCTTCACTTTGCTCCTTCCTAGCTGTTTAAACTTAGGCAAATTATTTACTGCGTCCAAGCCTTATTTCTTCATGTTTAAAACTGGAATGGTAATAACCACCTCCCAGAGAATTGAGAATAACGCGTGAAAAGTACTTAGTAGAGTAAGAGGTGCATAATAGCACTAAAAGAAATCATAATCATAATAATTAAACTTCTAAGTCTTTGCAGAGTTTTCTTTTTGTTTACAAAATAAAAGTATATTCTTTGCATTTTTTGATTAAAATAGTATGTGCTCATTTAAAACTTCTGATTTATACATTTTTAATTTTAAATTTAATTTTGTTTTTAGATACTGAAAAATATAAATAAGAAAGTAAAATTACTAATAATTCCAGTACCCAGAAATAATCACTTTAACATTTTTGGTAAATACTCTTCGTATTTTTTCTGTGTGTATCCCTTTTTGTCTCCCACTCACTCATATATTTTTGAAGAGTGGTGGCAATTTAGGGTTGCCAATGTCTAATGGTATACAAAATCTTAATATTAACAATAACGCATTTCTGTGAACTAAGCATGGGAAAACATTTCTGAATCTTTCTTCCTCATCATTTCCAACCTAGAAGGAGAAGGGGAACGGCCTCGAATATCCAGACATGTGCATAGTTTTCCTTGTTCCTTTCTTCCTCATGTTTGTCTGACAAGAATCAGCCTCTCTTGGGTCTCACCTGATGCCTGGTGGGTGGTCCTGTGGGTCACATGTGTCCAAAACGGGCTCCTGGGCATCTTATGAGACACATCCTCCTTCTCCCCACTTCCACTTCCCAGGCAACAGTTCATTTCCCATGCTTGGTATTCTTTAAGACGTCATTGTACAAACTATTCCCCCCGCCCTCCTCCTATTTCAGAGTGTCATTTCTTCTTTTTCTGAATGTCCCCAATTTACATAATTTTACCTACTTCACACAACTTATAAATATTGGGAACAAATTTCTAATTACTGAAGAAAATACACACGGAAATTTAAAAATATACATTTGACTAGACTTCAGGGTATTTTAAGGTATTTTATACCTTTTTAGACATTAACAGTTTACTTTGGAGAGATGAAAAGAAAGCAACTCATTCAGTATTCTAACAGCATTGTACTATACAGTGCTGTCTTTCCCTGAAAAGTTTAAATGTTTTTACAAATATTTCCTCCCTTGTCATTGCATGTTCTTGTATCTCATTGGAACATTATTTAGAAACAGGTTTTCCCTGTGAACAAGATCCCCAATTGAATTTAGTAAGATTCTTTCTGCAGTTTTATTTTCATGATTTATTCTGGGTTTATTTATTCCCTATCACGTAGGGTCTGAGTTCACATTTATAATTGCTATAAACAATAGTAGCAACGACTATTTTTAACTCATCAAGACAGGCATAACTGAATATTATAATATAGAAATCAGAAGCATCAAGAGCTACAGCCAACTCATGAAAGAGCCCACATAGATGGAAAAATGGGGTTTGAGTCTCACTCTGATCTACTAAAATCCCTGGTACTCAGGAACGTAATGTAAAATCTACTGGTACTATGAATTTTCCTGGAAAAAAAAAAAAATAAGAATAGCTTTGCTGAACACATAAGGTGGTTTTGGGACCAGTCCTTCAGGTGGAAGTCTTAAAAGTTGGGGCTCTAGATGTTGGGTCCAAACCCTTCACTTGGGAAGTTGTAAGTTTCCTTCCAACTGAATGTCACTGTGGTGGGGCGGGGTTTATGGTGAGAGTGTATCTCAGTCTTTCCTACGTGTTTTGATGTAATGTTTTTGTTTGTTGCCCGATGTGTAGGAATCAATCAGCTAGTTTCTGGGTTTCTTTCAGAGAAAGAAACATTGCTCCTTGTGTATTTGTGTCTGTGTGAGAAGGTGAATTCAGGAGCATCCTATGTCACCATCTTGGACCAGAACTGTCAGTTTTCAACTCTTTGGGGTAAATATTAAGAGTATGATTGCTGGATTATGTAGTAAGTGTGTTTTTCGTTTTGTGAAAAACCACAAAACTCTCTTCCAAATTGGCTGTACCATTGTTCATTCACAACATCAATGCGTAAGAGTTCCTTTTGCTCCACATCCTTGTCAGCTTTTGGTGTTTCTGTTATGCCCTTTTGTATTATATGGCTTTATTTTATTTTAAAAATAATGTAGATATGTTATTTTTATGAGTAGGCAATCTGGCTTAAAATTTTAAAAGAACATAAATTGAAAATACTCCTTCAGATACAATTATTATATTGTGTAATGTGATATAAAGCTTAGGGGTAGAGGTTATTTGAGATTTCTCTTTTTCTAAAGCATCAAACTATCATTTCTGTTCAGGAATATCAAGAGTAGCTTTTTGAAAAATAAAGCTGAATCTTCTTTCACTAGGAGATTCTCTTTCTTTTAAATATTTTAAGGACTTATCTTCAGGGTTATGCATTCTCAACAACTCGGACAAATATAATTTTATAAGTAGAAAAGTGTTCTGTACATTTCTTAGATAATCATCAAGTAACTTTTACTAACTAGACAAAAGGTGCTTAAACTAGGTCTAAACTATCATATATTTTTGGTTCTTATAAACCAAGCAGTAAAGATTTCAAAATATGTAGTCAATTAACAAAACAGGAAATGCCACTGGATATAAAATACAAATCACAGGCAATAACGTTTTAATAATTACATGACACATTTACTATTAAATATTTATATAAAATGCATGAATAATATTTAGGGTGACATACCTTTGCTATCACTTTTCTCTAAGTCTTTCAGTGCTTGAACAAACATCAGTTGACTTTCGGTGAGAGGCCAACTGTTATACAACACCAAACACTGTATGATATACTTGTAAACCTGTGAAATAATGCGATGTTTAAACACAAACGATAAGAATATAAGAACGTAATATGTGCCAATTAATTTATTATTTTAGGCACATAATACTTGCATATTTCTCTGGATTATACAATCATAATTTATTAAATACTGTCAGATGTTCTCCAAAATTCTGTAACATCACAGTCTTTAAAAGTTTATCCTCACAATCCCAACACCACCTGCCATTATGTATTCTAGGATTTACAATTTTTGCATCCATGTTTATAGATGAAATTTAGTTATTTAACTTTTGTTACTCTTATCAGTTTTGGAATCAGGATTACATTAATCTCCTAAAAAGGACTGTCAAGTTTGTATTGTTTTTCTGTTTTTTAGAACAACTTGCTCCTTGAAAGTCTGTTAGATCCATTCTGTAAAAAGAGCTGGGCCTGTGGCTTTTTGGAAAAGCAAGATTTGATGATCATTTCAGTTTTATTATTCATTATTATTATTATTTTATATTTTCTAGTGAAGTAGCTTTTCCATTCCTCCTCTTGCCCTATAAATCTAGCATTTTTTTTCTAAATTCTACATTTCCTAGTATAGACTTGTGCACAACCCTTAAAATTTTTTTAAAAACCTGTTATTTGCAGTTATACCTCCACCCTATTTTTTTGTTCTGTATTTGATTTATTTATATTTTCTTTCTCTTTCTTGATTGGTCTTACAAGAAGCACGTGTACTTTATTAATCTTAAAAAAGCTGAGTTTATTGATCTTCCTAAATTTTGTTCCCCATTTCATTAATTCTCACCCTCCTTTTATTAAATTTTTTTCTTCTTTTGTCTTTGAGTTATCCTTTTGCTCTTTTTCTAACTTTTTGTTTCAATAGCTTGGCTCATTTGTTTTTGATCATTCATTCTTCTGATAAATTAACTTAAAAGTCAACACTTCATTGAATGCTACTTTAGATGTGGCCTACAAATTTTGATTTGTAGTTTTTTATGGTTATTGAATCCTTTGTATTTCATAATTCCTTTTTTCATGTTCTTTTTAACTAAAGGACTATTTAGTATATTTAATTTTGTTTCCACCTTTATGGGATTTTTGCTGCTAATTATTAATTTCTATATTATTTCATTATGTTCAGAAAACATCTATACAATATCATTTGATTTTTACTGAAGGTTCTTGTACATGCTATGAAAAAGTATATTCTCTATTTATTAGGTGAAATGTTCTATATAGATATCTAAAGGATTAAGCTTACACTTAAAATTTTTAAAGCCTAATGATAAACATATTTTGTTTTTCACCTTGATCTATCAGTTTCTGAGAGGTGTGTGTTAAAATCTTCAAGTATTAATTGTTAACATCTCTTTTTCTTTGTAGCTCTAATAATTTTTGCTTTTTATTCATTGAGTCTGTGCAGTTAGGTACTTATATATTAGTTAAGGTCATATTTATTTGTTTCATTCCTCCTTTTATTTTTATATAATATCCCTCATGGATTCTATGTGTTGATATATTAAAATATCACAGCTCTCTCTTCACTCAACTTTAAACTTTCTGTGCCATTTTGTTTAAAATGTCACTTTTAGGCTACTTATAGTTGGATCTTATTTTTTATCTAACTTTAAAATCTTATCCTTTTAATTGATTAATAAACCATTTGTATTTATTGTAATTATTGTCATAGTATGATTTATTTCTGGCATTTTATTTTCATTTCTTTTTATGTTTTTTTTTTTTGGCTTCCAATGGATAGGTCATATTTTCTTCTACTCCTTTAAATTATATGCATTGTCCTTTATTTCTTTAACTTAAGCCACATACAAGTCAGCTTTTGTTAATATGTGACCTTTTTCAAAGTTATATAGCTTCTGTTAACTTATACGTAACATAACATAATTACATCTACATTATAGGGTTACAGTACAGATAAAATTTGCCACACACATATTTAAAAATCTTGGCATAGAAAAACAGTTCAATAATGTCTAATTCATCAATTCTGGTTATATACTAGTGGCATTGCATATAGAAAGTATTATACATTGACAATTTTTAGGAAGAGAATGGTTGTAATTTATTTTAGATTTTTAGGAGCAGTACCACTGAATAATTCTTTTAAGCATAGATATACCTGCTGTGGCGTGCTAGCATTTTCATCTATGGTGGGCACACTGATAGTTTCCTCTTCCAAAATAGGCTGACCAGTGTCAACTATTGCACTTGCAAGTTTACCCTTGTAGGATTTCTGACTCCCCTGGGCAGATTTCTTCTTGTTGTACAATTCTTGCTCTTTCTTGGATGAAGCATGACTTAAAAGAATTTGCTTGCTAGCTAAATAGGAGAAATATTAATATTTAAGTTAAAATATGTGAAATGTATAGTTACTACTGACTGTATTATTTAGTTGTACCCTTTTATACAACACGCAAAGGAACAGGTCAATTTGTTTTGTTTTAATGAGTTAAAAACCAACATCATTGGCTTCTTAGAAATATTATGGTCTTAAAACTTACTATAATAGTATGTGACTTGCACAGAGCAATGCATATTCTGAGAAAACAGTGATTACTAAAAGACTATACAGCACTTCAACAATTTCTCATTCATTCTGTGCCACTAGAATAACACTAAACTAATACTATACACTCTGACTTCTTCAGTGTTTAATACTATATGTATGTACGTTGTCACACTTATAAGAGAGTTTCATTTTACTTTTTAATTTCTACATTCATTATTTTATAATTAACAGATAATATAAGTACCATTGGAAAGGATAAAAATAGAAACATGCTGAAAGTTATTAACTAATTAATCAAATGTGTATTGAGGGAACATAAGTGAATGACACAGGGAAATTCCAAACCCAGCCATGACACAATAATGAGCATTGCATTTATTAAAAATAAATGCACCATAAAAAATGATAAAATTGGACAAAATGTATAAAGCAACTGTTTTAAGCCATTGGACAATACATAGCCCAAGACTGTGGTCCTTAAGAGAAGAAAAACATACAAGATGGGTCTCTCCACTTCCCCAGCTTTCTGCCTGTGGGCACCATCTCAACTGCAGCACAGGGAAGCGGAGGCCAAACAGTAAACAGTTTTGCCAGATTTGGGAAGAAACGATTGGAGTTTGGGGCTCCTGAGACAACTAAAATTTGTGAAGGGGGGTATCAGAGAGGAGGCATCTGAGCAGCAAAGGAGCCCAGAGAGAAGCATGGGGTCCACTTGAGTCTTTAGCAGAATTGGAAACTTCATTTGCACAAACACCTAATAGTTGCTGGCAGACAACAACTCCTGGGAGACTGTGGGCTTAACGGAGATTCTGAAGGTTGCACGGTGTTGAGAGACATTGGAGACATTGGAGTTCTGCCAAAATGAGGGAAATTTAATAGACATACGGGGCATTCAGTTGAGACTCAAGAAAGGCTATTCTTTAAGGGTAGAGCTACTCTAATCCTGGAGCAATGGAAACTCTAGACTCGACTTAAGAAAGTTTAGAACCAAAGTCTTTATAGGATTAAGCTAAACTGTCAATAAACTGCCTGCCAGAATGAAATCCAGCAATCTTTCAATGAAGAGAGCATAATCTAGACTCTTAGCAATGTAGCATATACAATGTACAGAACATAATCTATTTGATATATGAAGAAGCAGAGAACGGGACTATAACTTGAGAAAAAGTCAATGGAAATAACCATAGAGCTGACATAATGCTGGACTTAGCAAACAAGGACCTTAAAATAATGATTAAAAATGTGTTTAAGGATTTAATGGAAAAGATCAACATAATGAAAGAACAAACAATGAATATCAACAGAAAAATTAAATATATAAAGAATCAAAATAAAATCCTAAGTATGACTATATCTGAAATGAGACATTCCTAGATGGACTGAAAAAACACATTGCCAAATTCAGAAGAAAATATTAGTAAACCTAAATCATGCAACTGAAATGATCTAAATAGAAGCAGACAGTGAAGAAAAAAATTGAACAGCATCTAAGTGATCCATGGTATAATATTGTAGTGGGTAGAATAGTGACCCCCCAAAAGAGATATGTCCACCCAGAACCTCAGAATGTGATTTTATTTGACATAAGGGTATTTGCAGTCATAATTAAGGTAAGGATCCCAAGATGAGATCGACCTGGATTAGCATGGCCCAAAATCCAATGACAGGTGTCCTTAAAGACACAGAAAAGGAGAAAACATAGAGACACACAGAAAGAAGAAGGCCATGTGAATACAGAGGCAGAGATTTGCAGAGTCATGCTGTCACAAGGCAAGGAATGCCAGGAGCCACCAAAAGCTGGAAGAGGCACAGAAAGATTCTCTTGTAGAGACTTCAGTGGGAGTGTGGCCCTGATAACCCCTTGATTTTGGACTTCTATCTTGCAGAACTGTGAGAGAATAAATTTTTGTTGTTTTCAGCTACTCAGTTTGTGGTAATTTGTTACAGCAGCCCTAGGAAACTAACACAGATATCAAGTGATCTGAAGTATGTGTATTCTTAGTCCTAGATAGAGTTCCTATAAAAATAAAATACTTAGGTATAAATTTAATAAAGTATGTGCAAAATCTGTCCATTGTAAGTATAAAACACTGGTGAGAGAAATTAAAGACTAAAATAAATTGAGAGAAATACTTTGTGTTCATGGACCAGAAAAGTCAATATTGTTAAGATGCCAATGCTCCCCAAGTTCAACACAATCCCTTCCCAAATCTAAAGCTACAATTTTCAAGAAAATGTGGTATTTGACTAAGAGTAGATATTTAGATCAATGCACACACAGTCCATTGATTTTTGACAAACGTGTGAAAGTAATGCAGTGGAGAAAATATTGGCTTTCCAACATATAGTGCCAGAACGACTGGACATCCATATGGGAATAAAAAGAACGTTGACCATCCACTTCATGTCACACACAAAAAATAATTCAAGAAGGATCATAAAATTAAACATAGACGCTAAGTTTATGAAACTTCTAGCATAAAACATGAAATGAAATATCCATGCCCTGGGATTAGGAAAAGATTTCTTAGATAAAATACAAACTGCACCAGTGATTTTCTCTTAAATGACAACTTTGATTTCATCAAAGTTAAAAGTTTCTGCTCTTCAAAAATTATTAAGGAAGTGAAAAGGCAAATCTTACACTAAGAGATCATGTTTGCAAAGTATGTATTTGATGAAGGACTTGTATCCAGATAAAATAAAGAGCAAAGACAAACCATTAAAAGTATAAGTGTAATGTGCAAATGGACACTTCACCCACTAAGTTATACTTATGGCCAATAAGCAAACATAAAGAGCTCAACATCACTTGTTAGCAAATTTAAACTACAAAGAAATATAACTACCTACCCACCAGAATGACTAGAATCAAAAACATTGACAACAACAAACGTCAGAAAAAATAGGGGGAAACCAGACATCTCATACTTTGCTGGTGGGAGTCTAAAATGATACAGTCCCTTTGATAAACTTTTTGGCAATTAAAAAAATATATAAATATATTTACCTATGTCAAACCATGACACATTAATTCAACTCCTGAGTATTGATTCAAGAGAAATGAAAACACAAGTCTCCCCCCGCTAAAAAAAAGACTTATACAAGTATGTTCTTGGCAGCTTTAGTTACCATATCCTAAAAGTGTAATAAACTCATATGTTCAAAAGAAGAATGGATAAACAAAGTGTGGTATATCCATATAATGGAATAATACTCAACAATATAAAAAGGAACAGAGTAGTAACAACATGGATGTCTCTTAAAAACATTATGATTAGCAAAAAATACCAGGGCAAAGAGTATGTACATGCTTCCAATTCCATGAAGTCCTATTACAGGCAGAACTATTCTATCTTGGTGGAAATGTGAACAGCGGTTGCCTCTATAGGGGTTGGGGAATTGAATGGAAATGGCCTGAGGGATCTTTCTGGGTAATAGAAATGATCTATATCTTGTTAGGGGTGTGGGTCACACTAGTGTATGCACTTATCAAAACTCATCAACTTAGATTTGTGCATATAAATTATATTTCTATAAAAAATCAAAAATGAATGACACAAAGTCTCTGTCCTTGTGAAGTAATTCCTTCATTACCTCCTTCAGATATTCAGTCAGTCATTCATGACCATTCTTTACCAAAAATATATGAAACACATACGAAAAAAGGAAAAATTTTCCTTAATACAACAGAGTCCACAAATCAATTAGAAAAAAAATCTAATTCCAATAGAAAAGTGGACAAAGCACACAAAAAAGTTTATGAAGAAGGAAATATAAAAGGAGGATATATAAAAACATGCTTAAACTTCACTAACAAGCGAAATAAAAATTAATATTTTTAGCATTCAGATTGACAAAAGTCAAGAAATATGATAATTCACTGTCATTCAGGGGAGTATGGATAAAAGAAGGGAAATTTACCAAAACTCTTGGTGAGCGATTTGACAGTATATACCAAAGTTAAAGCTGCATGTACCCATCGACCCAGTAGTTCTACTTTTAAGCATTTATCCAATACATATACATACACAAGTTCAGAAAATTATACACATAAATTTTTAAAGAAAAAACTCAGCACTGTGTATAAACAAAAGATTAGTATTATCACAAATCACTATCAGTAGGAGACTGGTTACGTTAATTATGATATATTATCAACACATTGAATATTATACAACCATATAAAATAAAATATTTTACTATTCCTAGTCCATAGTACTTCCTCAAACACTCAATTGCTTAGATTGTAAATTTTGGGAGAAATTACAAGTTTTATATTAACCCTACGGCATGAGTACTGGTATAAGATTTTATTCCTGAAAATTATATGAGATAGACGGACATTCTTTAAAATTACCGTGAGATAATACAAAACCTAAAGAGGACTGTATTTTAAGATTTTGTTGCTGGCTCACTTCAGAGCCTCTACATCTCTGTAATGGAGTGTATTTCTTCTTTAGTACCACAGAATATTTGCTTACAGAATACGTACACAGTCCGCCATATCCTGTTCCACTACAAACATAACACACACACATATATTTTTATGCATGTACTTTTGGTGGGGGTACTCCAGAAATATATATAGTAAATAATTCATAAATGGATATGTTTCCAAGAGAAGCAACAGAAAAGTGTTTAGAAAAAAAAGGAATTTCAATGTCCGCTTGTATGATTCATAAACACAAATTGACAGCATCCCCTTAAAAATAATATCCTGTCTGAAATCTAAATAAAGAAAATATCTAATGCACAATAACAACTCTGTCAATCTCCATGGAGAAATTTTTAAATGTTTTCTGAGAAACATAAAAGAAGTCATGAATAAATGGAAAGAAATATTCTCTACTTGCATACAAATTCAATACTATAAATGTATCAGTTCTCCTTAAATTAACTAACCTATATATTCAAGGCAAAGAGAAGGAAAACAATGATAGATTTTTGTGTGGTTTGAGGGGAATTTGAAAAAAATGTAATAAAGTTCATCTAGAAATATAATATAAAAATAGAAATATCTTGTAAAAGAAGAACAATCAAGGATGATGGCTCTAATTTTGGATTAATTTCTGAATTCTGTTCCAATTGTCCTTCTACTCCATTTTTTCTGTCTCTTTCTATGCCAGAAATAAACATAAAATTATTTCAAATGTTTATGTATAATTCTCTTGTAAATGGTAAATTTTGAAGTGTAATAACAATAAACTATATGACAAACTATAAACAGTGTTTGCCTCCACAAATTTAAATTAAAAGATTTGGAGAGGAATCTTGGTGGTAACTAATTATTTAGAGAAAACATGAGGCCATAAACAGCATAGGAGAGTTGCACATAGGTGCCTACTGAAGTTTTAGAATTAAGGTATTCCTGCATGAAGTAAACTATGAAACCCATATAGAATGGATTAGAGCACAGAAAATAAAGCCATCTTAAAGAGAAAGAGTGGTATTCAGACTAGCAATGCTTAGTACTCTCATGGTCTTAACACATCCGAATGATAGAAAATCTATAAATGGCGTGCAGGCAGATTTGAATGAAAAACCACAAAGTAGTAATGTGAACTGAGTACTGAAAATGACTCAGGGCATACTCAGGGATGAAGGGCAAATGATGGGAGAAAGGAGGTACAATCAAAAGAACTGCTTAATTTGCAATTTTACCCAAGCTCAGCCTTACAAGTATAACATAGTGCATTTCCCACCTCCCTATGTCTAATGCGCTACATTTGCGCCCTAGTTGTGCCATCACAGTGTGGTGTCTTCTCAATTCTCTGCTCCTCCAAATTCTTATTCATATTGGAAAGGTATATCCCTAGGCTACAATGACAACTCACACATTCTTTCCAGGGTTAATAAGAGAGGATAAAGAGAGCCTTCCTTTGGGTGCATCCATTTTAAAAAGAAAAAAAAAAAAACCAAAACAAGAAACATATAAATAGAACACAGGTAAAAAGACAGTTCTTTTTAGTAATTTGCTTGTACACTTAAGACAATCAGCATAAACACTATTGGGAACAATGAGTCCAGGAAGGGTCCTGGCTACCAAATAGTTACACTAAGGTCAACTAGAAGATACAATCAGTTACAAAAATAAAACATGATAGCAGAATTCAGAAAAAGCATATTTATCAAAATAAATTTAAATGTGTTACATTACTCTATTTTACAGGCCAAAATCTTGGATTGAGTAGAAAAAAATACCCCTTTATAAGAGAAAGATTGAAAAACTAAATGGATGAACAAAGCGTACAGGCAAATGATAACGGAAGAATCAGTGTTAGTATCAGACAACCTATTAAAGTTGAGGAAAGCCTGCTTTGTATTCATTTTAAAAATACAACGTATCAAAAAATATGAAGCTAATGTGAAACTTTACACAACTAGCAACATAGCATATAAATATGTAAAACTAAAACTACTAGAGATAAATTTTTATACATTTTACAATGAAAGTAAGAGGTCGTAACATACCTTTCTCAGAAACTTACCTGCCAATAAAATAAAATATAAATGACAATCCTGAAATTTTTAAATATTACAAGTAGCAAGTTTTCTTTTTATTAGAAAGAGGGTGCATGTATTTAGACATCAAACTATTTACCTCCAAAACAGAGCAGACATGTTCTTCATAAACCTCAGTGTAACACTAAGCAAAACTGATTTGAATCAGGCCACAGGAAAAATATGAATCAAATCCTCAAAGTAGAAAATACATAAGTCACACTCTCTAGCGCCACAAAATTTAATCAGATATTAATAACAAAAGGCTAACCAAATCTATTTTATTATTTTGAAATTGTAAAAATATTATCAATGTTTAAATTTAAAGAGAAAATAAGAATTATATTGTAGACCATAGCCAACGACATTACATAGAAATTTTGTAGCTTGCTATAAAATATAATGTAATATATATAGCTATACTTAGAAAAATGTATATCATTAAAAATGTTGACTTAAAACCAAGACTTAAAATATGAACTAAACTTTCAACTGGTGAAGGTAGCAAAAAAAAACCATTAGACTAAATTTAAAAAGTAGAGAGAAAGTGTTAAAAGATAAATATGAATATTGATAAAGCAGATTACACACATAAAAAGCCAACAGGCTTGATTAATGAGTCCAAGAGTTATTCTAAGAGACAAACAGAGAAACCTTTGAAAAGTCTGATCAGGAATACATTTCTAAAAACACAAATAAATAATAATATTTCAAAATGACCATACAAACATATTCAGAAGAGATTTTAAAATTATAAAAGGAACCTATATACAAATGTATGCAGATACATTTGAAATACCAGATGAAACTGTTACTTTTAAATAAAAATATATATGGTAAAAATGAAAGATAGAAAGTTTGGAAATTATTACAAAGGAATTAAAAACAAAGAAAAAGTCATCCCCTGAAAACATCAGACTTAGATAGTTTTTGAGGTCCAACTTAATAAACTTAAAAAAAAAAATGATTCCTGTAATATTTAAACGGCTTCCAAAATTAGAAAGTTTCCAAATTAATTTCAAGAATTTGTCATAATTCTAACTTGAGAACCTGAAAAGAGTAGTGTATGGTGCACACACAGAAAAACACCCATAGAGATAGACAGTTATTTATATGATCTAACAAACTAAATAAAATAGGATATTCCAAACATAGAGATGAATTAAAACATCATAGATAGGTTTTATTCCAAGAATGGTTCAAAATTAAAAATTAATTTATGAAGTTCAAAGGGGGTAAAATTTGTTGATTTCTATAAACAACAAAAAGGTAATTAATAAAGTTCCAAATCCATTTCATATTACAATTCTTAGCTATCAATAGAAAGAACTTAAATTTTATAAAGGGCAATTATTAGAAGTCAATGACAGACGTTAATACTTGGTGGTAAATGCTATAAACCTTCCTACTGAGGAAAAGGAAATGTATCACCATAACTCTTATTTAATGCAGGTTTGGAGGTCCCAACCAATGCAACAAATAAGAAAAAAGTTGTTTTAAGAAAAAAATACCAATTCTCAAAAAGATAAAATCTCAGTTTTGTTTAAAATGTAAATGCAAAAATGGAGAATGGATGCATAAGAGCTAAAATTAATTAACAGTACTTTTTCTGGGTAGCAAGATTACAATGAATTTCATGTTCCTTTGATTACAATTTTCTATTTTTCCATATTTTCTACATTGGGCACATGTTATTTTTATACTCAGAATCAAGTTACTAAAATAACAGAAAGTATGTCTCACAGTATCACTGTTATCCATTATTTTGGAAATAATTTTATTTTAGTAATTGATAACTCTTGTAACTATTCCATTGAAAGCAATAACTTTAAAGTTCCTGTTAATTTTAATAAGTAGAAATTGTCTAAAAATAATGAATGGAGAATAAAAGAAAAGTAAAAAATTCTTTCAAAATAATAAAAATGCTATTTCTTATCCAGAAATCTAAGAAGATTCATGTAATAAGATAGTCTTGAAAGTACAATTATAATAAATCTATCAATCTTCAGAGACTAATTTGACATACAAATGCAATAGTTTTTAAATATATTTTTACTATATATTTATATTTTTAAAATATAAATATTTTTACTAGAATATTGTTTTACAGATTTAAATGTTTACTCGCTAGTTTATCTTAAAGAAAACATTTTTAAAATCAGTTACATAAACATAAATATCTATTTATGGATCTAAATAACCAATTTAAAAAGACACTTACACTGGGAGCTCAAAGCTTTTTCATTTCCCAAGAAGTTAATCACTGGGATTATGGCTTGGCCCTTCCCAGTGGAGCTCACGATAGTTTCTTCATTCTCTAGGACCTGTATCTTGATGAATGCATCTGGTTTGGATGTGCATACGTGTATTGTAACAGGATGTGGTAATGCAACTTTAACTGAATACCTATTAAAAAAAATTCAGCTTTATAAGCAAGTATATTTGTCTTTCCCTTAAATCAGTAAAGGAAACTGTATAATTTGCTGATATAATCTAAAAGTAAAACCACTTTGTAAAGTCGACTAAAACCCTGGAAATATTAGTGCTATTATAGACTTTGGCAAAAGACCCCAATATGCCAAGGTAAAGTGAAGTAAGTGTAGTATGTTTGTTACCATCAAATCCCAAACTGGATACGCAACTTTTTGTTTAGATATGCTAAGCCCTCACTTATAAAACTTGATAAGTCTGCGAACTACTGCCACATGAAATCTTTCCATTGCACCCTCCTCTCCAGCCGGACAAAGAGCACAAGTGGCAGAGACAGTACCTTTCAAAGCTTCACTGTTAACACTGTTTTCTTTGATTCACAAAAATACAGAGAAATACAGAGAAATCAAGAGTGGTACCTATCGCCTGTACTTTCACCCTTTATCATACAGGCTGGGAACCTCTTGCAAAAAGACTGGAATCATGCAGCCTCACTCCATCCCATCTCCTCCCTTAAGGCATTCAGAGAGGTGTTTTGTTTTGTTTTCCCCTATTTTAGGTGAACCCTTGCAAATGCTCAGGATGCCATCGATTTTCAATTTCTCTAGAGATTTACTTTTCCGAGTGTCCTCTCTCCCATATCTTAAACCTTCCCCTCCATTCCTTCTTGTCATTGGTTTTTGTACAAACGCAGGTCTCATCCGTCTTAAAAACAGATCAAAACAAGACAAAAAACAAACCAAAAAAATCTTCAATCAGGCTTGCAGTGCAGACACGGCTCTCTTTCGCTCTTGCCCAGCTCCCATCTAAGGGGAGTCGCCCACTTCCATCGCCGTCATTTTTCACCTCCCGCTGGCTCACAGCGCTCCACTCCGCCCCCACCCAAGGTGCTGAGTTTGCCCTTGCCATGGCTTCAAGCAGCTTGTCACCACCCTGTAGAAACTTTGGTTCTCATCTTCCTTGACCTCTCAGGAGAATCCGAAACGGTTGAATCAATCCTCATTTCCCCCTTCTTTAAAAACTCTTCCCCTGTAAGCATAACAATTTTTGTATCTCCTATTTGGGCGCTGCTGTTTTTCAGATTTCTCTCCCATTCACATTCCCATAAATGTCAGAGAGTCTTAATATTCTGTCCTGGATCTGAGTCTCATTGTACAAACTTTCCTGGGCACTTCCATGGGCAGAAACAGAATATGGATTCTCAAATCTGTGTCTCCAGCCCAACTCCCCATGCAGCGTCACTTGGACATTTCACTGGCCTACCGTATTTAACATGGAAAAATGAATTAATTGTCTTCCTATTGCTCAGCCTGCAAATGGGATCTTCTCTCTGTAAACTCCATCTAAGTAAATGATACTTACTGTCCAATAGCTCAAAAGTCAAACCCCATGAGTCCCAATCAATCAAGACTGTTAAGTTTACTTCCCCCATGTCTTAAAATCCTTTCTTTCTCTCTAGATCCACTGTCACTATGGTTATGGGTTAAACTGCATCCCCCTCAAAAAGCTATGTTGAATTCCTAACTCCCAGGACTTCCCAATGTCACTTTTTTTTGAGATAGGGTCTTTCAAAGGTAATCAAGTTAAAATGAGATCATTAAGGTTGGCCCTAATCCAACATAACTGGTGTCCATATAAGAACGGGAACTTTGGAAACAGAGAGACACAGAGAGAACGCCACGTGAAGATGAAAACAGAGATCAGAGTGATAAATCTTCAAGACAGAGAATGCCAACGATGATTAGCAAACCACCAGAGCTAGGGGAAAGGCCTGGAACAGATTCTCCCTCACAGCCCTCGGTAGGAACCCACCCCACTGACACCTTGATCGCCAACTTCTAGCATCCAGAACTGTGAGACAATAAATGCCTGTTGTTTAAGCCACCTACTTTGCCAGTTTGTGGGACTTTGTTATGGCAGCCCTGGGAACCGAACACTCTGACTGACTTCAGGTTGCCATTATCACACACCTGGGTTATTTTGAAGCTCCCTGTCGCCAGCTATGCTCTCCTTCATCCATTCAACATGCTGCAATCTTCTGAATGAGGTTTTTTTTTTTCATATTCTGTACCTTTTATGATTTAATATAATTTCACAAGAATATGGTTCTAACATTTTTTCTGTTCTTAGAAATTATATTTAAAGTACTTTTTCAATTTATGGTTAGCAGACAAAGTTTTAACACAAGTCTATTAATGCCATTTTTCTTAAAATCCTTCAAAGCATCTCATTGCCTCTAAGTTAAAATCTAAATCTCTTGTCTTATGAGGCCCTCAGGAAAGGGCTCTGCCAACCTCTCCTGCCTTACTGTCTGTCATAGCACCGTAGAACCCCACTTTGCAAACAAAACAAATGTCTCTAGTTTCCTGAAAAGGTCATATGCTCTTTAATTTCTGAGCGTTCACATATGCTAGTCAAACACTTCCTCCTCACCTCCTCCCACTCAGCTCCCACCACCCCACCTTATCTTCTAGGACTAATTTAGGTCTCACGTTAAGTGTAACTTCCTAGTCTATTGGTGGCCCTGCTAGGTGATACAATGGTTTTTTTACCATAGGAGTTAAAATATTGTATCGCAGTCGTTATTTCTAATTTTTTATTTTTACTAACTGGTATGTTTCCTTCCTTCTTTCCTGCTTTTTCTTGCTTTCTTCCTAATGGGTGATACACAAATATATTACAAGAAGCAGGCAGATTAAAAACAGAATCTTTCACCCTATTGCCTTCAGTTTATGTGTTTTCTTTCAGCATTTTCTCTAAACTTCTACCTACATATAAAATATATAAACAAATATAAACGTAAGAAAATATACTTGGGATATACTGTATATATTGTTCTCTAATTTAATTTTATTGCTGATTTTTTTCATTACGAAAATGTATGTATGTTTTTTAAAGGGCAAAAAGTTTAAAAGTACAAATAAGTAAGAATTACAGGGAAAAATCAGCCAGAATACAATAAATTATTATTTGTTTATATACTGTCAAAAAGACTTAGATTTTTTAAATCAATTTACCAATATGTATGGAGTCTCTAAAACATATAGTTTCTTTAATATAATAAATCCCTAGGAAATAATCAGGAATTTACTTTAAAGTATACAATAAAATATGCCCACCACATCTCTAGTAATACCATTGAAAAAATAGAAATGGAAATTTGTAACAATAAGGAATAACCAATAACCAAGTAAATTGTTATATATCCATATGAATGATTACTAGGCAATCATGACAAAGAGTTCATAAAATGTCTTAATGTCATTGGGAAATGCTCACACTATAATGTTAAGTAAAAAGGACAGATTATAAAACTGTAACTGTGTTATAATTTTAATAATGTTAAGCTGTAACTAGAAAAATTACTATAAGAAATTATAGTAGAATAATAATAATGATTGTTTCTAGGTTTTTTGATTATGGGTGACTTTTATTTCCTTAATAATATATTTATATATTTTCCAAACTTTCTGTGTAGAATGATATACATGAAAAAGAGATGATAATTCTAACAATTTATTTAATAACAACAAATATTTAATGAAGGCCAATTATGTATCAGGCACTATGCTAGGTCTTATATTGCTAAGATGTGGTTCCTTCCTTTAATAAATGTTAATTCTCACAGAGGCTGATACGAGAGTAACCAGCTAAAATTTGATATGTCATATACTCAAAAAGAAGAAAGAACTATAGAAATATGACCACGACCAACTAATTATATTTAGAGGTTTAAGCACAATGGATTTGACTATTGAAAATCATCATTAAAAGTGATAGACTTTGCTAGGTGGAGAAATGGAGATAGGATATCAAAAGATGAGAGGAAAGACATTAGAAAAATAAAATCACATGGCATGTATGTCAGGAGATGGTGCCTGGTTCCATCAAAAGAGAGCACTGTGGGTCTGGTGGCTGGGCAAGAGGGCTGACTATCATGCTACGTGGTTTGTATTTTATTCTATGGGAATGGAAAGTTGCCAAAGATTTTAAATAAGGAAAATCACATTTAAATGTGTGTGTTAGAAAGGTAACTACTCTGATAGTAAAGGATGGATATGTAAATGAATAAGGAGAGAGAAAGAGAGAGTGAGAAAAGGGAATATAATGGAGTCATGGATTCAAGAAATACAACATTTCTATAGAGAAAATATAGTGAGGCCCTGAAGAACTACTGGTGGGACACTGAGAGTAGAGACGAGGGCATAGAGATGAGAGGTATGTTAGAATTGAATCAAAAGGACTGATTAATGAAAGAGAGTGGAGTCCATGATGAGGCTATTCATGGAGAGTGAACAGATAACCATGACGAGAAGGTTGAATTGGCAGACCAAGAGAAACTCACACAAGAGACCAGAGATGAAGCAGAACAAGGAGAAAATAATAAGAGGAAAGAACGTCATGAAGAATGTTTAACAAAAGTCAAATAGGATGAACAACAGAGGAATGAATAAAGAAAATGTGGTGTATACGTACCATGGAATATTTAACAGTCTTTTAAAAGAAGGAAATCCTGTCACATGCTACAACATGGATGAACCTTGAGGACATTATGCTAAGTGAAATAAAGCAGTCACAAAAAGACAAATACTGCATGATTCCACTAGTATGGGGTAACTAGAGTAGTCAAACCCATAGAGACAGAAAGCAGAATGGTGGTTGCAGGGGCTGGGGTGGTGGGGGAATTGGGAAGTTCTTCAATGGGTACAGAATTTCGGTTTTGTAAAATTAAAAAGTTGTAGAGATCTGTTGCACAACTGTACAGTTAAGAGTGGGTTAAGATGGTAAATTTATGTTCTGTGATTTTTACCACAACAAATAAATCAATCCCAGGAGCACTGCAAAAAAAAAAAAAAAAGTCAAATAGGATGAAGACTAAGAAAATCTCATTACCATTACATGCAACCACACGGGCTTGATCCTGTATAACATCTATAGAATCCCGTTACTCTCTAAATTAATTGTTTCCGAAAGCATGTAGAAATTGAAATTCAAAATTGACTCAGGAGCTTACTATGAAATTTATTATTTTTTAATGATACTAGGATTTAAAATAAAATATTTAATAAAATAAAAATATTAATGTTTTAAAAGGAATGCATTGCCTCTTCTGTCATTTACTTATACCTGAATAAAATCTTCTTATCATTGGGTACGTAGTAATTTCTGATTTCGTTTATGGTGAAGGTGTTGCATGGAGGGTCTCGAGAGAGGCAGGGGAATGGATGATAGGGACCCATGAGGCGTAGTTTCCATCGTGAGGATGGTACTGCTGAGTTACCAGTATATGCTTCAGCCACGAATGTGTACCCTTTCTATAGGAAAGAAAAATTATGCAGAAGGAAGTTACAAATGTAGCTCTCAAATGTACAATATATGGTTTCACAGTACGAAAATGCTTTACTAACTTGATATACATAAAGATTCCAAGATCTCTTGATAGATGTCAAATGACTAGCATTATGCTTTGAAATCCCTTTTAGAAACTGCCATCTTACATATTTTCAGAGAAAATGAATGACTCATGTTTTTTGTGTGTGTGGTCCCCTAGCTATAAAATAAAGTGCTTAACTGTGGTAGATGAATACTACGTTTTCCTCTAATTCTTCTAATGCTTCCTAAGGCAGATCCTGGAATAGCCCAATAGCTTCCTACTTGATTTCTCTGTCTTCTCAGAGTCATCTTTCTAAATACGAGATGAGAAAAGCACAAGAGTTGATGAAAATGTAGTTCCCGCAGAATGACAATTGGCAGGTAAAGCTATCAGATTGTCAGCAGATCTGGTTCCGTGGAACCTGGATGTGAATCTGGAGGTGAGCTCTTTAGGAGGGAGAAGAGAAGCAGCTAAGGAACCTGGGAGAGTGATAACATCAGAGAGGGTAATCTCCTGGTTCTACATGATTGGACATCTGGCCAAGAAGTCAGTGAAGCAAGAGCATGATAACTTAATGAGATATAAAATTTCAAAGTAATTCTGAGTTTATAATTCCAGACACTTCTCATAAGGAAGAAAAATATAGATTTGTATTCCAGTTGCTTTCCGATGCAGAGGAAGCTCTCTGATGTGTTTGGATTTCCAGAAACAAAAATTAGAAATACACAAGACAGAATGAATTCATAACATGAAATAAATGTCTAGGAATATTAATCAGAATGCCAGTATCAATAATAAGATGAGAATTGCAACACCAATAAGGACCTGATGACATTATGTTTGGCGCAAGGAATAAAAGAAGATAAATCATGTATGCTAAAGTATTTTTACCTGCAAAGTGTAATGCACAGATTTATTGCTGTTTTCATTATTATTTGAGCTTGTAGTGCTAATGCATTAAAGAAGCAAAACAAAATTACGTGACTCTGATTTTGTGTTCATCTAGGCTTAGAGAATAATTTCGAGAGGGAAAAAGAGTTATAAAATGGAAAGATAGATATTGGGAAATGAAAGTCTAAAGCCAAATCTGTGATAGGATTTTAAGAGAGGACCTGGTTGTTCCAAACAACTTCAAGACTCCTGAGTAAAAGAGCAACATAATACAGTACTGAGTACTGAGAAACTTCATAGAGGAGTATTCCGAATCACAGTCTACGGTCTTTGAAAAATTATGAAAAAATTACAGCAAACAGTTCTGAAGGAATAAATATTTAACCCTGCGTTTTAATTTTTTTAACCTTAGAACACTACTTTTTTGTTTTTACATAAAACAAATTAATATCTTGAAGGACACTAGTTCCATGGACATACACTGGAAAATGTTGACCTAAAATAGGCTATATATGTGTCAAAATGCCTTCCAAGTGACAAAATGCTAGTGCAATCATGGGCTACAAAACAATGGAGTAGTGATTCTCCTTACATTTGGGTGGGTTGGAATTCCCTTTCGAAGCTGCATTCAGTTTTGGGAACTACATTTCAGACGGGATATAGATAATTTGGAGAAACATTCATAGAATCATGAAGAGAGGAGAACTATACCACAAAAGGGACCACTGAGGCTAGCTTTCTGTTCATAAAGCCCGACGTTCTCCTCTCCATTCTCTCCGTTCTTTTCTAAAAGAACTCAAATGAGAGGGTAGAAGAGAGGAGGTATTAGAGAAAGGGTATGGCTAAGGTTATTGCAATCCTGAATTTGCAATTTATAAATAATAGTTAAACGGAGATAAAATGTTGTTCTGCATATTCACTCAAATGCATCATTTAGAGTTACTGCCCAAATTGAAACTTAGTCCAGGGAGGGAGGTCTTCACTGGAGTTAATAAATAGAAACCAAACCAAACCCAAACAAAGTATGCTAGATGTCAATAAGTATCAGATTCTTACTTGGTTCAACCAAAAAGCCTTTAAATGTCCCTACCAAAATTAAGCATCAATGGCTATTTTAGTATACTTATCTAGTGAAGTAAAGAGCCCACTTGCTGAATTTGATGACATCTATGACCTTGATAGAGTCTCCTTTTGAATGAAATCATCTTTTCTGTACTGACTTGTGGGAGTTTTGAGCTCCTATTAAATTAAATGTTTTTTATATAATTTCTAAATAAAATTTTATACTCAAAAGGAAATCCAGGTCAAACATGACAAACCAAACATTCAAAAAATAACCTATCAATTGTTTCTGGTGTGAAGACATGTTTGTTACTGAAGAATTAGCTCTCTCCTATAGTGTTTGGTTTAACCCAAAGTATTCTGCTGCGGAGAAGTGAAGTTTATAGACAAATTTCCCAATATTGTACTTTTTAATAAATTGCTATTTACTAAGACATGGGGGAGAATAAATATAGTGCAAAAGGAAATTGTATGTAGGATCAAATTGTATTAGGGTCAAATAAAGTTCATAAATACATGTTTGAAGTACAAAAATTGATTCATTAGCAAATAATTATATTTTTAAGTGTAATATGAATACCCTTTCAAAAGAAATTAAACAAAAAATAATATATTGATGCACTGACTTTAAGAGAGTTTTCAAAAATTATGTTTAGGTATATAATAATTCCAAATATAGATAACTGCACACAAAAATACTGATGTTTATCAGATTTTATCATAAAATGTAAATGTGAATTAAATGTGCCAAACACAAACTAAAAATAATTTAAGCCCAAATTACAATTTGGCAATATCTTCAAATTTAGTAAAATCATATTACAATAACAAGAAAATTTATATCTCATGAAAAATAATAGAAAAAATGATAAAGTTTTAATAAAACATATATGAGTTTTTTATTATAATGAAACAGTAAAAAATTCATTAGAAAAATGTCAAGTTTTAAAAATATTTATACACACATCTGTATATATAGCAAATGGATTAAATGATTTCATTAAGAATTTACTTGCCCTGATTCTTTAAAAGTTTCCTAAAATCCCTAAAACAGACCAACAACGAACAAGCAGAATTTGAAATTTAAAACACAAAACCATTTACGTTAGTATCCAAAAAATGAAATACTTAGGTGTAAATATAATGAAATACATACAAAATATATATTAGGAAAACTAAAAAATTCCGATGAATGAAATCAAAGAAGAACTAAATAATTGGAGAAATATTTCATGTTGGTGGATAGGAAGACTCAATATTGTGAAGATGTCAGTTCTTTCTAACTGGATCTATAGAGTTAATGCAATCTCAACCAAAATCTTAGCAACGTATTTCATGGACATCAACAAACTGATTCTAAAGTTTATATTGGAGAAGCAAAAGACCGAGCGTAGCCAACACAATAACGAAAGAGAAGAACAAAAGCTGAAGAACCGACACTACCGGACTTGAAGACTCACTGTAAAGCTGTAGTATCAAGACAGTGGTGTATCGGTAAAAGAATAGCCAAGTAGATCAATAGAATGGGATAGAGATCCCAGAAGCTGACCCACATAAACGTAGTTAACAGGTCTTTGACAAAGAAGCAAAGGCAATACAGTGGAGCAAAGATAGTGTTTTCAACAAATGGTGCTGAAACAACGTATACACACAAGCGAAAAACGAATCTAGAGGCCGGCCCGGTGGCGTAGTGGTGAAGTTCACAGGCTCTGCTTCGGCAGCCCAGGGTTCACGGGGTCAGACTCCGGCCGTGGACCTATACACCACTCATCAAGCCATGCTGTGGCGGCGTCCCACATGCAAAATAGAAGAAGATTGGCACAGATGTTAGCTCAGGACCAATCTTCTTCACCAACAAAAAAAAAGAAAGAATCTAGACACAGACCTTACACCCTTCACAAAAATTAACTCAAAGTGGATTACAGGCCGAAATGTAAAATGAAAAACTATAAAACTCCTAGAAGACAACGGGAGAAAACCTAGATGGCCTTGGGTATAGCAACGACTTTTTGATACAACATCAAAAGCAAAATCCCTGAAGGAAAGAATTGATAAGTTGGACTTCATTAAAATTAAGAACTTCAGCTCTGTGAGAGAAAATGTCAAGAGAAGAAGACAAGCCATAGAATGGGAGAAAATATTTGCAAAAGATACAGGCAATAAAGGACTGTTATACAAAATATACAAAATCTCTTAAAACTCAACAATAAGACAACAAACGACCTGATTTAAAAATGGGCCAAAGATTTTAATAGACACCTCCCAAAAGAAGATATACAGATGGCAAATAAGCATACGAAAAGATGCTCCATATCTTATGTCATCAGAAAAATTTTAAAAACGAGATACCACTACACATCTATTAGAAGGGCCAAAATTCAGAACACTGACAATACCAAATGCTGACAAGGATGTGGAACAATGGGAATTTTCGTTCATTGATGGTGGGAATGGAAAATGGTATAGACACTTTAGAGGACAGTTTGGTGGTTTCTTCCAAAACTAAACATATTCTTACTATACGATCCAGCAACTGTGCTCCATGGTATTCACCCGAAGGAGTTTAAAACTTACATCCACACAAACATGGATGTGGATGGATTTTATTCATAACTGCCAAAACTTGGAAGCAACAAAGATCTCCTTCAGTAGGTGAATGGATAAATAAACTGTGGGACATCCAGATGATGGAATATTCTTCAGCGCTAACGTGAAATGAGCTATTAAGCCATGAAAAGACATGAAGGAAATTTAAATGCATGTTTTAAGAGAAAGAAGCCAATCTGAAAAGGCTACATGTGTATGATTCCAACTATAAGACATTCTGGAAAAGGCAAAATTATGGAGACAGTAAAAAGATCAGTGGTTGCCGGGGGTTGGAGGAGGGGAGATGAAGAGGTGGAACACAGAGGATTTTTAGGGCAATGAAAATACTCTTTATGATATCATAATAACGGATACTTGTCATTTTACATTTGTTCAACACCACAAAATGTACAACATCAACCGTGAATCATAATGTAAACTATGGACTTTGGGTGATAATGATGTGTCAATGTAGGTTAACCAATTGTAATGGATGTACAGTCTGGTGGGGCATGTTGACAATGAGGGAGGCTATGCACGTATAGGAGCAGAGTGTGTAGCTGGAAATCTCTGTACCTTCCTCTCAATTTTGCTGTGAACCTAAAACTGCTCTAAAAAATAAAGTCTTATTCAAAAAAAATCCCTAAAACAACTCAAAAGGACTATTAGGTTTTTTAACCTTGGAAGGAAGCTGTGTAGCCCAAGAAAAGACTGGAGGTGGTGGGTGGTGAGTGGCTGTGTAATCACAGTCTTCCGAAATACATAGGAATAGAATGAAAGCCCAGTGGGAAGCTGAGACAGCCAGCAGATTTGGTTTAGGAATCGGACTAAATGAGCTCTTTGGAACCATTTCCATGTTAAGGGTTTGGACGATTTTGTGATTTTAATAATGAAAATTCCCAATGCTTTCCTTTTGTCATACTTTCTTTGGAGAGAAGAAAGAATAGGGCTGAGAGGTGAATGTTCTATCACTCACATTAAGTACCTCCTGCTGTCAGTTACATGGGACTTCTATGGGGAAAGACCAGGACCCTATTCCTCTGTTAAGTAGATTGAAAGCACATCGGCTCTAACTTCTCCTGCAGCCTCTACAAGGTGCTGGCTTCTCACTGCCCTTCTATCACATGGGGAGGATAAAATTGACACCTACCTTATTTTTGGTATAAAGATAGGGCACCACTTTTTGGAACACCTTCGGCACTTGTTCCATTGTGTCGTTATTAACAACGTGGACGATGCAGACTGGAAGCGTAGTATATACTTTGGGAAGCAAAATCATATCTTGAGGAACCAAAAATGTTTCTCTGTAATTACAAAACCATGAATTTTCCCTTGACACGAATTGTAAAGAAAATTTGAAATTAGGTTTGATGCTAAGAAATAAAAAAAAGTTTAAAGTTCCAAATAACTACAAGGTACACATAAAGATATTATGCATAGCAGATGTGGAAGTAATTTTAACTAAGTTGTAAAAGTAACCTAAAAGTTCTTACTTTTACTACTATCATAAATAAAGCTCTACACACATAAATACTGCATGCCATTTAAAGGTGACATCACTTCCCAATATATGATAGCCTCACCTGAATACTATAAACCAACTGTTTTGTGGCTGGTCAGGATATGTCACAGTATAGTCAGCAAAAACAACCTTCGTTTCTTCATCTTGATAGCATGGATAAGATTCAATAGACTTGCATTTGCTTTTAAACATTAGTCTAGAAACGTAAAAAGAATTTAAGTACTAATGGAAAAAACAAAATTTACAGTAAGTTTTATTTACAAAAAAGAAATAGGCAAAAAATAGCATAAAATACTGTAGTGCATTGTTGGCTGGATTGATGAAATTGACATAGAGAATTGATATGAGAATGGAGTTTAAAGTAACAAATAGATTTGGAAAAATAAATTTAAAAAAACCCTAAGACCACGAACAAGGCGAGAGTGCCAATTTTCCTTCTACATGATTTCTGGTGCATGAGGGAGTGGTACATGCCACCGGTTCAAAGAACTATGGGCTGAGGTTTCTCTGCATTTGCCCCCTGGAAGGCTGTGGCATATTCCAGAACACGATGGAAATGATGTGAGGGATCCTTCGGGTCCTGTCCTTCCCACTCTGCCAGGAAGTGGATCTAGCCTCAGAAGCATCAGTAATCTAGAGTCTTTTATATAATGTCTCGGGTATTAGCTGGAATGTATGCCATTATAGCCGTAGAAAATTGTTCTCTATTAGAGATCTAGACAGAGCTAGAGGTGTTCTTGGTTTCTAGAAGGCAGATGGTTTAATTGTACTGTCAGTGGGAAGCAAAGCCATGGAGATTCTCATGGAGGATAGATTCACATGCTCCCTTTGATCATTGGTCTTTTGTAGTGGGAGGAAATTGATAGGTTTATACTTGGAAGGGTTTTAAGTCTTTTAAAATAATCACAAGAACAGACTCACCATGTATCCTGGTTTGCGTGGGCAGTCCTAGTGTATGCTCATAGTCTTGGTATAATTATTAATAGTGCTCCCTCTCTCCACTTAAAAGTGCCCCAGTTTGGATAATAAATAACCTGATCACCCTAACTGGGAACTACAATGCAGTGGTCTGTCCCTGCAGAGAACCACCATCAATCACATGGGGAATGGCCTAATCTAAGCATGGGCGTTGACTTAGCCAACACAGGACCTAAGCAGGCCACATAGGGAATTCACTGTAATGGGATCCACTACCATTCTAAGATAAGGATAGGATTTAAAGGCTTTCTAGACTCTAATAGAGAACAATTTTCTACGGCTATAATGGCTTACATTCCAGCTAATACCCAAGACATTATATAAAAGACTCTAGACTACTGGTGTTTCTGAGGCTAGATCCACTTCCTGGCAGAGTGGGAGGGACAGGACCCGGAGGATCTCTCACATCACTTCCATCGTGTTCTGGAATATGCCACAGCCTTCCAGGGGGCAAATGCAGAGAAACTTCAGCCCATAGTTCTTTGAACCGGGTGGCCCCTAGGTTATTTAATTTTTTAATATATTTTCATATACAATTTTCTATTTGTCTCTTGCTTATAAATAGAAATACAATTGTTATTTTATATTGACCTTGTATCCAGCAAATTTTCTTAGTTGTCTCATTAATTCTAATAATTTCTCTGTAGATTTTTTTTTGGTATTTTCTACATATCATCTGTAAACAGTTGTGGAAAGTTCTCAGCTATTATCTTTTTACATTCTGGGACTAAAATTCCAAAAATACTAGACTTTCTGAGGATATTGCCCATATCTCTTCTTCTCTTTCCTTATTATCCACTCCTTTTCCCTTGTGCTTCAGTTTGAATATTTTTCAATTGACCTATCTCCCAGTTCACTAAGCTCTTCTTCTGTTCTGCCTAATCTGCTGTGAAATCCAGTAATAAGTTTTTGATTTAAGTTATTAAACATTTTATTTATGTAATTTACATTTGACTGTGCTTTAGTAATCTAAACTTTTCTTCTATGTGCTTTTTCTTTATTCTTTATTTTCTTCGGCATTTCCTTTACACCTAATGTTAGAGATTTTGTCTGCTAACTCCAACACCACCAGAGAGTCTGCTTCTTTCATATATATATATACTTTTCTCTTAGTTTTCTTCAGATTATCCTGCCTCTTGGACATAGTTTGTGGCTAGAATGCAGTTTTCCCAAGAGTCAATCTTCTTCTGATTTGTCTCTGTTTCTAGAGTTTTGCCCTCCAGGGATTTCAACTGACAACTCTGTTTACTGGAGTCTCGACCACCCTCCCCATCCTCCAGCAGGTCCTAAGTGCTAACTTTGTCTTCTCTGTCCCTTAAGACTTCAAGAAACTCTGTTCTGCTTCTCAGAGGTCTTCTGCTTAGAATTTTAGATAAGTGCAATTAAGACAAACAAAAACTAGTAAACACCACAGAAACGTTTCAGACAAAATATTGTGGAAGTTCAGAAGCAATGGAGTGTTTCCAGCTGCAGTAATTACAGAAAACTCAATGAACATGGTAGCATTTGAATTGAAACTTGCAGGGTACCAAGATACCGCAACAAGAAATATCATTATGCTGTTTTACCTTAAGAGAGAAATCGCATAGTGTTCTATATTCAATTCCAATATAGCCCAAATTTTTTGAAGAGTATCTGCAACACTGGTATTTTCCTTTGTGTCTAAATGCAACAACAAAAAATAACAATATAGCAGCTGTAAGGTGCGTGAAAGATCATCTTGTTCAAAGCCCTCCTTTTACAGATGATGATGTTGAAACTCATGATTAACATGGTATCCAGAGTCACAGTCTTTATTAGCAGCAAAATCATGTTTAAAATATAAAGCTATAAACCTCTAGTTGAGAGCTCTGCTCACCACTTTATGCTCGTTCCCTTCATCGTTAGTTTAAAAATCACAAAACGTTCTTTGATCTAATTGAAGATACTCATCAAAGAGTTTACACCAGATCTTTTACCACACTAAAAATTTCTTAAGAAAACTCTTAAATCAGAAAAAATAATCCATCTAATTTTTGTAAAAAGCAATGACTAATAGGATCCCACTAAAGCTCAATCTAAAGCATAATCTACAAATGGCTTAAAAGTAGATGATTTGCCAAGAAAAATGCAAATCCATAGTAAGTAACAAATTTGACATGTCAGAACCTGACTTTTTTTTCTAATTATCCTATCTTAATTTCTTCATAGTATTTACCAGTATCTGAAATTGATATCTTAACATATTTATTTGTCTATTGAATGTCTACCACCACCAGAACACAAGATTCTTCAGAGCATAAACCTCCTCAGATTTCCTGATTTATATAAGGCCAGAAGCTAGAATAGTGCTGTACACACAAGAGTTATTCAATAAATATGTGCTGAGTGAAAGAAATGCAGCACTATTAAAACAGTATTATTGTTCAAGCTTTTTCTCTATAAAGAGAAAGAAAATCGTTGCATGAATATAATTTTTACAGCATATATGGACAATAAAAAGTATATTTTACCATATATTTTATTTGACGAATTTATAATTATTTTTTCTAATAGAAAAAAATAAAAATCAGGCAACAGTAATATTTTTCTATCACAAAACATGCAATGTAGTTTGTTTGTTTTACATTTGTGTAGTTTTTACTGCTTAGATGAACATTTTGATGATTCTCATTAAATGTTTCAAATAGAGACATTTTTACAACAAAAGGTTTCAATATACTCTAAGACTTCCATTGGAAGTAAAGCTTTGCTTAAGAAAATGTCAACTTGGGGCCGGCCCCGTTGCTTGGCAGCTAAGTGCGCGCGCTCCGCTACTGGCGGCCCGGGTTTGGATCCCGGGCGCACACCGACGCACCCCTTCTCTGGCCATGCTGAGGCCGCGTCCCACATACAGCAACTAGAAGGATGTGCAACTATGACATACAACTATCTACTGGGGCTTTGGGGAAAAAAAAGGAGGAGGATTGGCAATAGATGTTAGCTCAGAGCCAGTCTTCCTCAGCAAAAAGGAGGATTAGCATGGATGTTAGCTCAGGGCTGATCTTCCTCATCAAAAAAAAAAAATGTCAACCAAAAAAAAAAGCAGAATGAAAATAATTGAATATAATTTTGGCCTCTGTAGCATTTTATTTTAAGCTGACAAAATAGATCTTTTCACAAAATAGTTTATTTCATATTCATAAATATTATTTATTTAATAAATATAATCATACACTTGAAATGCATTTTATGCCTTCTAAATGTATATCGCTGTGGACATACATGGAAGTTTCTTCATTCAATTCATTCCTTCATTCACTCATTCATGCATTTCTTTGAAAAACGGTCAAGAAATGTAAAAATATCTACAGTTTAGCTGAAGTTGACTGCTGCAGCATTCTAGTGGGCACCGGGGATGTATAGAGGAAAAGACCAGTTTCCCTGTTTTTAAAGAACTCACAATAGATTGGGAAAACATAGCTGATCATTCACTCATTCATTCGTTCATTCTTTCAGCAAGTATTTGTGGTATGCTTACTCTGTACCAGGCACTGTGCTAAATTCTGGGAACAAGAGAGTTGGTGTGCTGATATGCATCCTGATCTCAAGGAATTTCGGTACTTATAGAATTAAAAATAATTAGCCGAGCTACAAGGTAGGATGACTCTAAAACACTTTTCATTAACACAAACTAATATTCATTCTTGTATACACAAGTTCATTTTATAAATGATTGAAAAATCATACCTGGTGTTCTAGCTTTCATAAGCAATCTGATATAAGTCCCTCTCCACATGGCTTGAATTTTAGTTGCTGCTGCTACTTCCTCAGGAGAATACTCTTTATCACTTGGTGGCACAGAATATTTCACGTCTACCCATTCCGCTGGAAAGAGAAAAACAAACTTTGGACTGAAAGATATATTTGACTCCTTCCCCAATTTTCAACACCTTTAACTACTAAAGTCCTTGGACACATAATGTGCCACAATGACAGCTTTGTCATTATGTTTAATGTGGCCCTCTGTAGGTGGTCCTCTTTAGAATGTAAACATTCTGGAGAAAGGAAACACACTTAATTGACGTTGTAGTGAATTGATTGATTCTTCTGTGAAGGTGGCAAGAGATTTCTTTCAAAATTGAAAGAAAATGTTACAATGGTGGCAACAGAGCATCCAGAGATGAGGAAGGGAAGGTTCTTTGGATCAGAGGATCTTCCCAGAATTCCTCCAATCTTTCTGTATAGATTAGTGACTTTCCTCCTTTTTAAGGTCAGAGACAAATAAAACAGGGGAATTCTGCGCTCCTCTGGAAGTATGTGGGGTCAGGGAGACTTCGCAGAACCTTGGAACCCTCTGAGCCTCCCGGGGCACAGCTTGAACTCCACAACTGTTGATGCAGATCTGTTCTGTCCGCACCACAAATGCTCTGTCTGCACTTTTCTCAAATTATTTCTTATATAAGGCTAGGAATCCCTATATCTAAATATCTAAATCAATCAGTACCTAAAGAAACGTCTTCCAAGGAGGAATCAAGAAAGTCTAAGTACAAAACCATCGCACGGAACGCAAACTTGAAGTTTGGAGGAGGTTTTGTCATTTGAGTTTTTTTCACTAAACGCCATAGAGATATATGAAAAACCTGAAAAAGATAAAATACATTAGTATATTTTTTTAAACCAAGAAAATACCATTACCTTGGTTAATACCATTACCTAGATTCTGACCTAGAGGTCAGAGAAACTCTAAAAAATCTTTCGCTACTCTAAAAAGTAAAAAATATGCATATTTCTCAGATATACACACAATCTAACAGAAGACTCTTCAAAGTCGCACTCAGTAAGAGGCCAAAATTATTTATCATTTGACCATTTTTAATTTAATAAAATTTAATCAGTACAACAATGTTTGTCACGTACACTCAATCAAAATATAACATTAAACTGGTCGAGGAGATATAGCATAAGACAGAAAATATGGTCCTTGTGTTTAAGCACATTAAATACAATATTTCATTGATTCTGAGATGCTGTCCATTGTAAGACACATTATTATTTCACGTGCCACAAGAAAGAAAATATGCTACTTAGAGCTTTTAATCACTTTCTCATCCTAAGTATTGACTTCTTATTGAAAAGCTCTTTTAGATTTAGTTGGACATAGCTTTTTCATGTCACGCTGAAACACACATGAAAAAATAAGTCACATAAGTTGGTTAAGTATTTCAAAACTGTTCATATTCAAACTCCTAGTCTTGTAAATCACTTTTTGAAAGTGCTTAACATCTGCGTTTTCCTGTGCAGTTTTGTCCTTCATGTTGTCAAAAGCTTTGAAGATGCATCATTGCCTAAAGAGCATTCGAGTTTTCTCCCTGGGGTTTCTTTCAAGCATCTGACCCCCATTCAGTAAGTGTTGATGCTGACTCATCCTTGATCTTACCAAAGAGAACTGACGGACGGTTTTTAGACAACAACAAGAACACATATTCCTTGCTCCAAATTTTTTCATGGTTTTTATCCTGGAATGCTGAGGATTCCATTTATCCAGTCATGCTACTGAGAGTAACAACCAAGCCACGACACATTTCTGCTGGTTTTCTTTCAGTTATTTGTATGTCCACAGGGGGTAATGTTCTTGGTGGATTACGTAGGACCCTGGGGTACTATTTGAGGTGACTTTTAGCCAATCACACCTCTCCCTTTCTCTCTTTTCCTGAGCCCTGGGGGAGTCATTCTGGTGTGAGGAAAATCCTTTTCCTTTCATGTTTCTTTGAGAGGCTCTATTATGCCATTTAATTCTCTTCCATTAAGGATTAGGCTTTCATCAAACAATACATGTATTTGTTTTAAAGCAGTGACAATATGAACCCTTATGAACAAGTCCATGCCTGTGTAGAGAATTCTGGAGGCCACCTGGCTAGCAACGATTATAAGGAACTACCATTTATAAGACACACTCTAATTTCATTCTGGTGTTAAAGTGTGAAAAGAAATGTGCATGTTAGAATTGGCTAAATACATTGCCCTTCAAAGGCATATGACTATTGTACTTCCTGCTTAGTCCATTTTTTCCTGACAACTCCTTACCCCTCCCCATACGTTTAGAAACAGGGACCTATTCCCACAGTCTATATTTGTACCTGCCCATCAGCTGGCAATAGTGGACAAGCCTTTGAGCAAGCAACTAACCCAACCTGAGCAAATCATTGTCGCTTTGACCAACAATTGGAAATCAGGATCAAGACATTCTAAACTGGCCTCATATGGGAAAGGGATGTAAAATGCAGGAGCCATATTTTCCATGATGAGAATTTAGGAGTAGGGAAAAGTAGGAAAAAAGGGAGAAGTTCAGTTCTAAGGGCCTTCTGTTCCCTCTCTGAAGTTCTTCATTGAGTCTTTCTTATCTTTAGGTGTCAAGAAGATGTCCCTGTATCCTTATAATAAATCAACACATACAGCTCCTTGTTGTGGCTTAAATGAGTTAGATGTGTTTTCTGTGACATGCTGATAAAATGCCCCAAATATTTCAACATCTAAGATAAAAATAAGAAAAATACATAATTATGTTAATCCTCCTCTTCTCTGTTACAGTTGAGTGTTCAGAGCGCTTGATCATCTTGACATTCTGCAGTGTGTGAAGGTCTACACGTGAATGTTGATGACAACAGTCAACTCAAACCTGTGGGCAGAAAGGGGCCAGTACTCTGAATTCCTGATTAAGACACATGCATGCCAGAGAGTGAGGAATAAACCCTACAGAGATCCATGAACTTACCACATCAGTGGAGATTTTAGGTGTCCAGAGGGCTGGGCATGCTGGGTAAAGGATAAGACATCGCAATTAAGAAAGAGGTCAGTACTCGATGGTCCTCTCTGGATTTTGGTAGTAGAATATTCTGCTTTGGGGAATATTATTCCAATGAATTTATTGAGTGACTCATAAAACCACCAGCTTTGAGTGGGATCCAAAGCAAGAGAGGGATCTGCAGGAGATTTGGGCACCCCAGGAAAGAAAGAAAGATCACCTGGTCCAACTCTGTTATAAATATGCTAATGGAAGACCTCCCAGCAAATACACTAAAGTTATTTACTAGTGAGTGAATCCTCATCTGTGGGATACAGATAGTATGATGCACCTGATCCGTCTACAACTGATTTATGGGACATGGCTCTCTGAAAAATGTTACCTGGCTGTGTAATTATCAAAGCATAATATAGAGATGTTTCATTACCAAAATAGCTTCCTTTTATGTAAATGATGCACTCACAAAGGCCCTCACTGATTAGATTTGGGCTAGCAACAATAGGTTCACGCACAAGTAATCTTGGTAGCAGGGATGGTGCCCATGAATGGCCCAACAGCATAGGCTCTTTTTCACACAGGCTTAGCTGTCTAATCTGTCAGCAGCAGAAACTGACTCCTTTGGTATTGTATCACCCTCTATGGAGTCCAGTCAGCCACTTGGTGACAAGTTGATTTCAGTGGACTTCTACCCAGGAAGGGCAGCAATACCTTATTAGAATTGACATCTACCTCAGATATGAGTTTGCTTTCTTTGTCCTCAGTATTTCTGTCAGCATCATTTCCAGGGGTTATAGAAAATTTGATTTACAAATAAGGGGTCCAGCCATACATCCCCTTGGACCAAGGGTCACATTATACAGTGAAGACTTAACCACTGAGGAATGTTTAGGACCCATTGGTCCTAACATACACCACAGATAAAATTGATAAAATTCTTGGCAGATTGGAATGGCATATAAAAGGTTCAGCTCAGAAGTCAGCATGGAGATGACACCCTGCAGAACTGAGGCAGTGTCTCCCAGGATGCAGTATATACGTGCAGAACCGAAGACCAATATGTAGCACTATGTCTGTAACAATTAAAACATATCGAGATGGGATTTAGCAATTGGAAGTAGGATGGGTCTCTCTCATCATCATTTCCAATGGCCAATTTGCAATAATTAATGTTTTCTGTCCCCACATCAAGGAGTTTGCTAGATTGGAGGACCTAATTCCTGGAGGTGGATGACAGGGAATGTTTCCGCAAGGGAACACAATACGATTTCCAATAAACCTTAACTATGACATATGCCTGGTTGCTTTGAGTTCCTCATCCTAGTGGATAAACAGGGAAAAAAAAAAAAAAAGGAACTAATATAACAGTGGAGGGGAGGAGAATAGGGTTTCTGCTACAAAATGGGAACAGGAAGAATTATGTCTGAATTTGCTGGGATAGTTCTTGGTGCTTCCACGGTGAATGATTAATTGCAGCAATCATGGCCTAATGAGAGTAAGACAATCAAGGTCTTGTATCCATCAGGATTGATGGTCTGTGTCACCTACCAGGCAAACAACTAGATCAGATGAAGCTTTGGTGGGAAGAAAGGGAAAACTAAAATGCGTGGTAGAGGAGAGAGATGTTGAATACCAATTATGACCTTGGGGCCAGCTGTAGCAGTGGACAATAGAGGTTTCTTGTCGTAGAGTGATTTAATCACTTTTAGAGCTTGGGGACCACCACCCTGAGGCACCTAGAGCCACCACATTGAAGAGCGGATGACAGAGGTCACCTAGGGAGGCCCGATCAGACTTGTTCAAGAGGAGATCGTGGCAGACATTTCTTGTATATTACTCACGCCCTAGGCGAGTGGTTCTCAATTGGGAGTTATTTCCATCATCTCAGGTAGGGTTGCCAGATAAAATACAAGACGCTATAAGGGCAAGTACAAATAAAAAATGAGAGGCTTAATTCTCCCCATGGAAAATAAGGGAAGAGACTCCTCCCCTCCCTTTTCTTAGAGCATTTACTTTAGAAAACTCGTCATTCTAAGTTCCTACTCTCTCTCTCTTTGAAATGTATATAAATTTTTTTTAAAGCTAAATATGCCTCTTGCTAGCTTTAAGATTCAGGAATATCTTTTGCAGGAACCTGGGAACCATCTCTTTGAAAAGTAATCATCAAGGGAGATGCACCTCTATCTCCCAGCTTCTGTGGAGGGAAGGAGCCTAACTTTGGTGGGCACCTGTCTCCAGATTGCAAAACTACCTTTTGTCATAAAGATATGAGAAGTTTATTTTTCATTTGAGTAAAGCAAATTAGCTAATGCAGATAACCACTCCAAATACCAAGTGAATTTAGGAATCATTATGTGTGAGGAACGGTGCTATCAAGTCCTTTTACTGGAGTACTAGTTATAGTTTATCTTGAGAACATGTATGTAATGGGTGACATTTGCTTGGCTATGCAAAAGTGTGAGATTTCTTTCTGTCTTTGTAATCTCTTTAGTGGATTGCCTGTGATGAATGTCAAATTATAGTTTAATGCTTATTCCACAATAAAATTATCTTCTTTCTCTTCTACCTTTGTGAGGAGGTTTTCTTGGTTTGGAGGAGATTTTGTTTTTAATTATTTCTATCGAACAATACCCAATACCCAGTTAAATTGGAATAACCGGTAAAATGAATTTTTTGTATAAATAATTTTTAATATAAGTATGTCCTATATATTGCACATACTATTTGTTTATATGAAATTAAAACTTAACTGGGTGAAATGACTCTAGACACAGACCTTATCCACATCACAAAAATTAACTCAAAATGGATTACAGACCAAAATGTAAAATGCAAAACTATAAAACTCCTAGAAGATAACATAGGAGGAAACCTAGATGACCTTGGGTATAGCAATGACTTTTTAGATACAACACCAAAGGCATAATCCATGAAAGAAAAAATTGATAAGCCGGACTTTATTAAAATTAAAAACTTTTCCTCTGTGAAAGAAAAAGCCAAGAGAATAAGAAGACAAGCCATAGAATGGGAGAAAATATTTGCAAAAGACACATATGATAAAGGACTATTATCCAAAATATACAAAGAAATCTTAAAACTCAACAATAAGAAAACAAACAATCTGATTAAAAAATGGGCCATATATCTTAACAGACACCTCACTCAAGAAGATATACAAATAGCAAATAAGCATACAAAAATATGCCCCACATCATATATCATCAGGGAAATGCAAATTAACACAACAACGAGATAGCACTACACATCTATTATAATGGCCAAAATCTGGAACACTGACAACACCAAATGCTGGTGACAATGTAGGGCAACAGAAACTCTCATTCATTGTTGGTGGGAATGAAAATTGGTGCAGCCACTTTGGAAAACAGTTCGGTGGTTTCTTACAAAACTAACAAACACCTATTCATAGATGTTTATAGCAGCTTTATTCATAATTGCCAAAACTTGGAAGCAACGAAGATGTCCTGCAGTAGGCGAATGGATAAATAACCTACGGTACACCCAGACAATGGAATACTATTTAGTGCTAAAAAGAAATGAGCTATCAATCAAGGCGTGAAATGATATAGAGGAACATTAAATGTATATTATTAAGTTAAAGAAGCCAATATGGAAAGGATACATACCATATAATTCCAAATATATGACATTCTAGAAGAGACAAAACTAGGAAGACAGTAAAACGATCAGTGGCTGTCAAGAGTTGGAGTGGGGGAAGGATGAATAGGTGGAACACAGAGAATTTTTAGGGCAGTGAAAATATTCTTTATGATATTATAATGGTGGATACATGTCATTATGCATTTATCCAAAACCATAAAATATACAACTACAAGAATGATCCCTAACGTAAGCTATGGACTCTGGGTGGCGATGATGTGTCAATGTAGGCTCATCAGTTGTAACAATTGCCCCACCGTGGTGGGGGATGTTGATAATGGGAGAGGCTCTGCCTGTGTGGGGAAGGTGGGATATGGGAAATCTGTACTTTCCTCTCAATTTTGCTGTGAACCAAGAACCGCTCTAAAAAAAAATAAAATATTTAATAAAAAAAAAAATCTAACCGGGTGCCTTCTATTTTTGTTTGTTAAATCTGGGAATGTTATTCCCCAAGGGACAATTGACAATGTCTAGATTAATTTTTAGCTGTCACAACAGGATGCTTGGTGTCTAGAAGGTGTGGCTAACCATGCTGCCATATATTCTACAGTGCACAGGTCAGCCCTACAACAAAAATCATCCAAGATGTCAACAGCGCCCAGGTTGAAAAATATGGACTTGGGGGTACCATGAAGTCTCTTTGTTTCACTCCCTTAAAGCTTTCTGTGAAGCCAGAATGCTACTCAGCCCCAGCAGAGCCACAAGTTTTAACTGTAGGAAAGTTAATGCTCCTGAGGGCAACCATCTATCAATGGGAAAACAGTTGGTGTGTAAGTGTCACAATCTCCACATCCTTCAGTGGGACCTTTCTGATGTCCTACACAGTTTATCAGGATACTCTGGACCATTGAGCCCCAGTAGCCCACAGCAGTAAATATCACATCTTTTAATGAATACTTTTCTCTTTCTCATCTCATTCTTCTCTCTCCCTCATTTCTGCTTCCCAAAGTCACCTCTCAAATAAATTATCTCTATCCAAAATATTTTCTCAGGCTCTGACTTGGGGGTCACCTAATATAAGGTACACTATTTCAGATAGAAAGTATCCTCCTAGGAGCATCATGTCCTGAACACGCTCACCCTGAAGTGCTGCGCAGTCAGTTCCTTGTTGTGGAGGGGTACGGGGTAGTGAGCTGCTTGTAGATCCTTCAGAGCTGCAGAAAGTTTGCCCTTATCTTTGAAACTAGCAATCACATTTCCAACAGCTTTCAAAATCGTTAGAGACTGCTCTGTGAATCGACAGCTCTCCTGTGAAGAGAAAACATAGCAGCCAGCCTCACTTTCATTTATTCAAGTGTAATTAAGTTTACAAAAATTTAATTTCTGTGAATATAGTAAATCTCTGCTCTATGGTTGATTAAATAGTTATTTCCAGAGGACTTACATGATCAAGGCACGTTGCTGGGTGCTGTGGTCTCAGATATAAAGCAAGGAACCCAATTCCTGCTGTAGCGGGAACACATAGGAAGAACATCTACCCCATATTGGGGGCGAGGGGAAATCTCTCTACAGGATTAACATGCAGACTTAGTTCTAAAGAATGTCCAGGGATTAGTCTGATAAAAACTGTGGGGGATTTGAGGATTGATGGGCAGAGAAGAGTTCAGGGAGAGAGCAATAGAGATCAAAAGACAGGAGCTTGAACTAGCATGGACTCCAGCTCCCTCCTGCTATCAACTCAGAGGAAACAATAAAAACAAGGAGACAAGGATACGGAAAACACTACGGAGGTTCCTCAAAAAAATTAAAAATAGAGCTATCATACACTCCAGTAATCCCACTTCTGGCTGTATATTCAAAGGCAATGAAAACAGGATATCGAAGAGATATCTACACTCCCATGTTCATGGCAGCATTATTCATATTAGCTAAGACATGGAAACAACTAAATGTCTGTCAATGGATGAATGGATAGAGAAGATGTGATCTATATATGTAGGAATATTATTCAGCCACAAGAAAGGAGGAAATCCTGCCAAATGTGACAATATGGATAGACCTTAAGGGCATTGTACTAAGTGAAATAAGTCAGACAGGGAAAGACAAATACTTCACGGTATCACTTATAGGTAGAATCTAAAAAAAAAAGTCAAACTCCTAGAAACAGAGAGTAGAAAAGTGATTGCCAGGGACTGAGGGGTAGGGGAAATAGAGATAGGTTGGTAAAAGTGTATAAACTTTCAGTTATGAGATGAATAAGTTCTGAGGATCTAATGTATAAGAAGTGACTATCATTGATAACACTGTATTGTATAATTGAAATTTACTAAGAGAGTAGAACTTAAATGTTCTCATCAAAAAAAAAGAAATATGTGAGGTGATGGATGTGTTAATTAACTGGGTGGTGGGTATCCTTTTACAATGTATGTTTATATCAAATCACCACAATGTACATTTTAAATATGTTACAATTTTATTTGTCAATTATACATCAAAAAAGCTAGGGGAAAAAAAGAAATTGCAATAAATATGTAGTTAGAAACAAAAATCAAAAGGAGAAAACCCTGAGGAGTTTGCAGATTTTCTAGATTGGTGTGTGGGGACTAGTTAGTGGGTGGTGGAGGAGTTGCCCGAAGCAGAGAACACTTGGAGGTAGCACGAAGAGGGTGAAGTTGGAGGAAAAACTTTGTAAAGTCTGTTTTTGCCCCTTTTCTAGTGGGAACCGTGGTGGAATCAGGTGCAATCATTGCTCCATGTTTCCCTGCAGAAATTCTGAGGGTGGCCCAGGAGGTATGTCTGGACAGCCCAGACTCCCCGATGGAATGAGAAGCTGATGAAAACAGATGCCACTGATTTGCCACCTTAATGCATCTCCATCATTGATAGTGCTGTTGAGTAGATTCTGACTCCTAGCGAGCCTGTGTACAGCAGGGCGGAACCCTGCCTGGTCTTTCTGCACCATCCTCTCCCCTTCCAGCAGTATATCAGACAGTGCTCTGCTGCTATTCACAGGGTTTTCATGGCCAATCTTTTTGGGAGTGGGTGGCAGGTCCTTCGTCCTAGTCTCTTAGTCTGGAAGCTCTGCTCTAACCTGTCCCCCACGGGTGACCCTGCTGGTGTTTGAAATCCCAGTGGCATAGCTTTCAGCGTCACAGCCACACACAGCTGCCACAGTGTGACAACCAACAGACGGGTGGTGTGGTTCCCTGACCGGAACACGAACGTGGGCCACAGTGGCCGAATCTTATCCACTAGACCACCAAGGCTGGCTTCTCCATTACCTCCTCCCAAACTCCCGGAAGCCTAGGGAAAGACTCTTCTCAATGGTGTTTCTCCCTGAGGTGAAACCATGACCAGAAACGTTGTCTGGTCAGTTGGCAGCGATCAAGTATGGCTCTGAGGAGCTTGAGTCTCTCTGCTCTTGGATCAGTCCACCCTCTTTTGCTTCTTCACTAGAACTGAAGAATACTGGGGCCTGGCCTCGAGCCCTAACAATGTTCATAAGATAGAGGAGTTGATAACCCCAGGGAAATATGAGTTCACAGACCAAAAAATAACTAAGCACCTAGAGAGTTAGATCACATAAAGAAAGAAACAAACTGGATAATCCCTGCTATCTAAAGCAGAATTATTATTTATCAAAAAAAAAAAAAGAGAGAAAACAAGATTTTAAAATAAGCAGGCTGAACATAATTAAGGGAGTAAGAGACATCTACTTATAAGGCAGGCTTACTGATCCTCCTTCTGTGTCCATTGAAGGGGAAAGAGAGGAGGGGTGAGAGATGGTGCAGCAAAAAGAAGAGGCAGCCATGGGGAATCCTGCCCAGTCACGGCCTCGAGAGGCAAGAATGCAGGACTGGAGCACGTCTGGGCCGTGGAAACAGAGCATGAAGGAGTTAGTCTTCAGCTATCTTGCTGTGACCATGGCCAAGAGGTTTACCGACTGGCTGAGAGGATCTCATCTCGTTAATGTGAGAACGTGCTATGTGGAGATGGGTTGAGGGAGAGGGTAAAGCTGAATTATGCAGTAGGAAGGCCCTGTGCAAATCCTTCCCCAAAATGCACCTGCCTACACCTCTAAAGAGGATGTCCTTTCCAGGACGTCTAACTCCAAGACAGGAACTCAGGGATATCTGGCCCAGTTTACCTTGTCTCTTCTTTCAGACCCTGTCAGAGCAGAGGAGCAAGAGAAACTAAGGAGAGGCCAAGAGGAGAAAGAGGAGATGAAGAAGAAGCGACGGAACCTTCCCTGGATCCTCTCCCCCTGAATCCCGGAGACACACATGCCAAATTCCTTAGGCCGAGGAAGGGGTAAATGGAGCACATGATATCAAAATTTTAAACTGTATTACAAAGGACTGTACTCAGGGCCGGCCCAGCGGCGTGGCAGTTAAGTGCGCAAGCTCTGCTTTGGCAGCCCAGTGTTCGCAGGTTCAGATCCCGGGTGCGGACCTACACACTGCTCATCAAGCCACGCTGTGGCAGTGCCCCATATACAAAATAGAGGAAGACTGGCACAAATGTTAGCTCAGGGACAATATTCCTCACCAAAAAAAAAAAAGGACTGTACTGATCCTTTATACCTCCCCAAAGACCAAGAACACTGTAAGATCTACCTGAGACGTTGTCTTGACATGAGTACAGCCATGTTTGGCCGCTCCATTGACCAACAGCCACCAGCACACAAAAAAAATATAAAAGCTGCTTTCTGCGTGTTGGGAACTGGCCCTTCTCTCACGGAGGGAGTTGCAAGTTGTAACATTTCGAGGCTCTTGGAGCGTCGTAGCACGGGATGGACTGGCCATCTGTGCCGGGCTGGGACAATAACCAAAGAGAACAATGCACGTACACAACTACTGGGCTGGGACGTTAGCCAGGGGGCTCAGTGCACGTACGCCACTGATAACCATTTTGTGCATGGAAACACTAAATGCTTGCTCTGCAAACTCTATAATTGCTTACTCTGAAAATTACTGATGGTATAAAAACTGCTGGAAACTGAGCCCTAGTGAGAGTTCCACCTGTGGAAGGGACACCTTGCCCAGGACGTGTGATTCCAGGTGCCCAGCCGCGTTGATTGACAGGGCTCTCCCGGCAGTGGGGCGTGGATGTTGTGAGTAATTGATTTGATGTGAAGTAATTGATTTGATATGAAGTAATTGATTTGATGTGTTCTCTTTTCGGTCAACCTGGTGTTTCTCTTTCTGGTTGATTTGTGTCATTTCTCTTCAGCCGATGTGGGTGTTTTCCCTTTCCAGTCGGGCTGATGTTTTTTCCCTCTTAATATTTGACCTATTTGGATCTGTTTGCAGACTGTCACCTTAACTATCCTCTATATAATAAAATATACCTTCAGTCCATTTGTTTGGAGTGGAAAGTGTCTTTTACGTCTCCGATCGAATCCCCGAACCTCTCATAACAGACGTTAACAGATGTGAAAGGGGATTCAACAGAACAGATGTGAAGGCAATTGTCAGAGAAAAACTAAATTATTTTATTTGTATCTCTATGGAGTTTAGATTGTTTATTGTACATGTCATATTTGGGAATTTCTTGCAGAATATACTTAATAGTTTTAAAAGGTAAAAAATGGGTAAGTTGAATAAAAAACAGGAATGTGGTTTAGTTCAAATTCTTTGAAAATAAAGCACACAAAAAAAATCACTAAAATTGATTTTTAGTTGCTAAAATATTTACCGGCTCAAAGGAAGGTAGCACAGCATCTTCATCTCCCATGACGAAAGTCACCATGCTGCAGATGTTTATGGAATGCCCAAAAGGAGAATATGCAGTGAACAGCACCATGTGTCTCCTAAAGAGAATGGATGATATATGAGGACAAAGTATTTCCTTTGTTGTGGTCCTTCCTTCTGTTAGTTTCTTGATGACACTTTGTGCTCAAAGTCAAACGTTACTAAGAGTTGAATTCTTTAACACAGATATGATCAAGACCCTTGGATTTTCACTCTCAAAGAACCCTCAGAGATCATGGCATCTCTATTTCACTAATTATGTCAGACAAAAGTTGTGACACTAGATGACAAACTTGCACACACTGGAGATATCTCCCATACACTGCAGTCACAAGACTCATCTTGATTTTTCCCTGACAACAGCAATAATTCACAGTGTTGTAGGGCTTTGCAGATTTTATAGTCATTTTCTCACCAATGCATAATTTAATGTGTGACAATTGTGTCTCTCCTACCAGGTGGCAGTATCATTAAGAGCAGAGACATTCACTGCCTCTCAGTTATTGAACATTTAGAGCATGTTTAAAACATACGTGTTGATAGGTTAGGTCCTGTGGGGTAAAATGATTTCTTTATTAATTCCTTGTCCTTGGTTGTCTCAATGGATGAGACACTCAGACAGAGTAATTAATGATTTCTGGGAGAATCTCTCCATGTCAGAGTTTTTAGGGCAGGTGTGAGAAATATTGAAGTTTTAAAATTTATTATTTTCTAGGAATATTGGATGCTTGCCATACATTATTTTAGCATTGGATTTTGTTGCTTAGGCTTTGCTTTTTTCTCAAGAGCCATAGCTTTTTATTCATCACATAGAATTAGCATGATTGATCTTGGGGAATCCAGCAAAAATATTTATTTCCTCTGAAATATGAGGTGATATTTTGAATTTTATTTATCAAAATCAAGAAAACTTTTTGATTATGCGTATTGTCTTTAAAATGGAAAATGTTACGTGTTTAGCCAACTTTATCTTAATTAGAAATAAAATCTACCAAAACAGACGACAGGTAAAACTATAGATTGGTAGGAGAAAATACTATGTTTCTCAATCTGTTTTTAAATAAAATCATAGTTCTTGCTAAAGAATATAGTAAGACTTACAAGAAAACGAAAAGTATTCTTAATAAATTAATTTTAGGAAATGCTGGGTTAAAGAAGTTTAAACCATATTCTTTACTAAAGAAATTACCAGACTGTTTGACAATTATGAATCTTCCAAAAGGGGATTCAATGTACAACATTTCTTTAATTTACATGTTCATGTAATTATTTTTCTCAAAAATCACAATGATAGATTTGTGCCTTATGAAATCACTTCAAGAAAAAACATCCTAGATTCTATATTGTTTAATTATTTAGTAGTCAACAGTTTACAAGTCTTCAAATAATTCTTAGTATGGGAACAATGAAGTTATTCCATACCCAACAGGCAGGCGAATGATTGCAGCCTTGGTAGCATATGTATGAATCTTCAGAACAAGATTGCGTGGCTTCAGAGATTTCCAAGAAACTGTTTCAGCTATAAGTAGTCCAGGCTCTATGGGAGGGCTGTCTTTTCTTAAAGCTTGAGAAAAAGTGAAAAATATTAAAACTTGATTGTGAGAATATAGCTGGCCTTCACTGGTATTGCTTTTTATCCAGTAACAACATTAATAATAATAATAAAATCAGGAATTAGAGATATTCTAAAAATGTTGATTACTCTGGATAAATAACTATTGGAAATAATACTCAAGTGGAACCCAGACCTTCCTCCCTTGTCTTCTTTTCCTCCTCATAATCATCCCCTTGGGTGAAGAAACCAGGAACGGGAAAGTTAGCAAGAGGAGGACAGATAGGTACATCTCAATGGAGTATGCCATCACTTTTATTATCTACAGCCATAATCACACTATTCCTCTAGTTGTGATTTTAAAGGAGGAAAAACACCACATCTAGGAAAATAAGAGAAAGTGGCAAAGTAAGGTCAAAATATCCCATTATCTAACTTTTTACATTTGATTCTTAGCTTTGACTTTGTGTGTAGAAATAGCAAATATTTAACAAAAATTTAATTTTAATATCAAGTTTTTCTCTGCAAATGAATAAAGAATATCAACTATTCTTCATTAGTAGATGAGGGCAAAATATTCTTTACCCTATTTCCACATAACACTCAAGCCGAGGCTATATGGCCACACCATAACCCGAAACACCTGTACACACAGAGAATGTCCTAGAACATGGTGTGGCTTAGGAGCTATTGGTTAGGCAGACATACTAAGCTTACACCACTAAAGTTTGGAAAGTCTATTCAACAAGTGTTAATCGCCCATCTGCTATATACTTGACACTATTCAAAACATTGGGGATATCTTGGTGAAAAATCATATGCCTTGCTCTCAAAGTTGGCAAGACATTCAATGTGAAGCATTCAGCAAATATTTATTGAACCTCTTCAGTGCCAGGTACTGTTAATTTGAGTTAGAGAAAAATGCTTTAACAACACAGGCCAAAGAATTAAGGAATGATGTTTTGTGCGTGTGTGTGCAAAGGGCTGGCCTTAGAGAGGAGCAGAGACAGTCCATCCATTAGAACAGGAGAGAAGGCTAACAAGAGCTTAGGAGAGTTCATTATGGGAAGATGAGGCAGGTCACTTCTGCTGCCTTCTATCTCTTCTGTGAAACAGCAGCAAGATCATCAGCTGAATATGAGTGAGGATGAGAGTGGGTATTAGAGATTGAGAGAGAGAGAGAGAGAGAGAGAGAGTGATTTGAAAATTTGAAATAGTCATGCTTGAGAATGAGACTGGGAAAAATGAATGCACTAGGGAAATGTTGGCAGTGCTTAGGGGCGTTTTTGAGATCTGTTGTCCTCAATTTAAACTAAGGCTAGCTGGTATGATTTCTTTTTTTTCTCTCTAGTCACATTCAGTTGCTCTGATGCAACCACAGCTTAGGTTCAGTTGTTGGGTTTAACCAACATTAGGATTTTGCCAAGAAAGTAAGATAAGAGGGTAAACACAGCAATTGTGTTGAGGGTATATGTGAGGATACAACCACAATGGTGGACCATGGAGACTATGTTGGGAAGGAGAGAAATAAGGACGTGAGGAGAGAGATGGACAGAGAAAAAGTGGTAGGGTCAATGGTGGTCCAGTGGAGTCAAAGAATTGTGGGAGTGGGAGATGTATAGAGAGTCAACTGGAAAGTCGGGGGTGGTGGTCAGAGAGCTTGAAACTGAGAGGATGTAGTTACTGGTATGATAAATTCTAACGTATAATCATGAAAGTAGGGGGCCAAGGTGGGAGGCGGGAAAGGATCTTTGGAATTGGAGGAGGAAGACGATCTCAGGAGGTGGTGTAAGTGTGACTCTCTTAGAGAGTCTGGAGAGGGAATAAGTTCCTTCATCCAGAGCCTAAAAATCTTCCTATGCATTTCCCCTGGACTGAAGGTGAGCTAGGCTTTAAGATTATACTTTTCTAGAGCCCTCTTACCTCCAGATTCTCCCCAGTGGACCAATGCAGAAAAGCAAACCAGTAGTTCAATAGGTTTTAGACAATCCACAAATAGATAGTAGGACACTCGTTCCCCTGTGAACTGCAAGAAATCAGAACAATCATTGTACTTAATATTAGTCTGTTAATGCTGTATTTCCCACTTATAATAATAATACAATACCTAAAATTTATAGAGAACTTATTGTGTTCTAGACACCACAGTAAGTGCTTTACAGGTTTAATGATATGAAGAAAATCATACCTGGCAAATGTCGGCAATAGTCTATGGAAGCTGGGTCTGCAGGGCCTGTGTGAAACTGGCTGCCGTATTAGAGAGAGTCAAGCTCTTCTCCATGACTAAACAAAAGGGATATGCTTGTTCCAGAAGTGACAAATAGAGGACGAGACTGGGCTCAGGGCTGAGCAGTGCTCAGAGAACGGGTCCCTGATAAGTAGGCAGCCCACAGAGTAACTTTGGCAGAGCATGGAAATGTCTAAAGGGGATGCTTTACGGTATTTTGCAGAGTGGTATGTGACAAAAACCTTCTATTCCTTCTTTCTACAAGATCTTCAGAAATATACCCATTGCATGTTAATGCACCAAACTGGATTTTTATTTTGGAGATGCAAGAAAGTACTGAGTAAAACCAGAACTTCCCTTAAAGGAAAGCCACATAGGGTTATGTGAACACGATCACAATTCATCCTATATGGGTACTATTATATCCGTAATTATGGGGGAAGATACTGAAACACAGAGAGGGTAAGTGATTTGCCAAAGGTCACAGAGTTTGCAAGTAGCAAAGCTGAGACTCCAAAGTAGGTCTAACTATTTACCTGACCCCAAGCCTGGTTTCCTCAACTATTGTGCTATTTTGCCTCTCATATTCTCAGTACTTCAAAGGAATTTTGACTGTGGTAGATGGTAAATGAGTTACATGAATTTAATTGTTGTTATACTTTAAAAGCTTTTCACATTATTTTACAACAATATTAAAATAACCAGTTAAAATGAGAAAAATCTCTAGGAATACTGTGAAAAAGGAAACACTTTTATTCAATGAAGCACGACAAGATTGCTAGAAATGCTGGATACAATGTAACGATGTTATATACCATTGCTTCCCCCAATATTTTCCTATAGTTAGCATGTGACATTTTACTTCATGTGTTTCCTTTTATCTGCAATATGTTGGTGACAGAGACGGTTATTTCAAATATTCACTATCTCAAACTATGCGGGACCCCTGAATTTGCCAGCCCAGCGTGCGTGTTTGAGGAGGAGTTTCAGCAGAGCTCACACGCTGTCATTTTTCAGAGTTTGAGAATTTGGGGGTTGAGTGGCCCCAGAGACCACATGGAGGGACTCTGCCCTGGTGCCACCCACCAGGCACTTTTGAGAGCCCCCTGCCCCGGCCCTACGCTGAGCACCAACGGATCAGCTAAGGAATGCGCAGAGGATAGGCCGCAGGCTCCATGCCCTCAACTCAGCTTGCGGCTCCTCTGGCCACTCAAATCAAGAATGTCTGGCCTCAGACCACAGTCCTTCCTTTCAGGTCATACTAAAGGCTATTAAGCTTGGGTCTCAACAATCTGTAAGAAAAAGTTATCATTTTCTCACACCACTGATGTTAAAAAAATGTCAGGGGAGAGGGCCAGCCCGGTGGCATAGCAGTTAAGTTGATGCGCTCTGCTTCGGCGGCCAGGGGTTCGCAGGTTCGGATCCCGGGCACGGACCTATGCACCACTTATCAAGCCATGCTGTGGCGGCGTCCCACATATAAAGTAGAGGAGGATGGGCATGCATGTTAGCCCAGGGCCAATCTTCCTCAGGCAATGGATGTTAGCTTAGGGCTAATCTTCCTCACTCACACACACACACACACGCACACACACACACAATTTCAGGGGAAAAGAAGGGACTCATAGGGATGTCATCATTTTATTTTGCCAAGGTGGGACTTTAAAAGGAAAAAAAAGCCTCTATTTACCATTACTTTTTAAAAATAAGATCAGAATAAGGAACACTTGGCCATTTTGCAAACATCTACACATATATATCAGGACAGTGATGTATAACAAAAACTCATATGCAAACTGCCTTTAGTAACAATGACAGCCAACATTTATTTTCACTCACTAATTAATAGGCATTCTTCTAAGCGTTTGGCATACATTATCTCACTTATTTTTCAACTCTATGATATATGTCTTTTATTACTGCCATTTTATAGATAAGAAACTGAGGCAAAGAGAACTTAAACAAAGTGCCCAAAGTCCCACCCCAAGTGGAGCCTGGATTCAAAACCAGGCAGTCTAGCCCCAGAGCCACTCATCTGCTTCTTCCTCAGGCATCCCAAGTGACAAAGGCACAGGCGCCAAGTCAGACAACCAGTTCTCATGATGTTTGTGTCACTTCCTAGTTTTGTGATCCTATCCAATTCACTCAACCTTGATCTGCCTCAGTTTCCTTACCTGAAAAATGATGAGAATAATAATCCTTTCATAGGGTTTGCTATGAGGAGTTAATGTAACAGAGAACCTAGTTCAGGGCCGGCAACAGAGTAGGAACCTATAAATGACTGTCATTTTATTATTGCCAACAGCTTGAATATGTAAACACGCCTAGATTAACTGTACACTACACATTATTCTCATACCATGCTCTGCGGTCAGTCGTTTGAAATTAACAGTTTTGTTATCTTCATAAGTCCAAACATTCCTCTGGGTGCTTTTAAGACAGACTTCAGGACTAGGTCGACCATTTCTTTCCACTACCCGCCCAGTCACTACAAGAGACCTGATTCTTACTTTCAGGTCAGGTAGCCAGCTACAGAACACAGGTTGCTCAAAAAGCTTTCTCTGCCTGCATTTTCTTCTAGGACAAGTGCCATGGGAAAAGTCATCTCCAAGACTCCTTACTTCCCCCAGCTCTGCACACTGCTCACGGAGATACGGGATTTTCATGGGGGGCTTGTACGGCCCCATACAGGCAACATGCAAGTTTCGGTACATTTTAGATTCCCAGGATACGTTTTATGTTTTCCCCCAAATTCCACTCAATGTGAGATTTGTTAATTCATTCATTCATCAATTTTTTTATTGAGTTCTTGCTTCATGTCATGACCAGTATTGCAATTAAACACAAGGACAGTGTCCTTCTTCTAAAGATGCTGACACCAAGGAGTGGGGAAGTGGAGGGGCACGGAGAAGTAATCAGACAGTTAGGATGGAGGGAGGTAAGTGTCTGGGGGCGATAAATAATACTTGGTACATAGATACTTGACTCAGACTCTTTGGCCAGGGAAGCAGGTCTCACAGAGTCAAGGACCTCCATGCTCTTCTGGAGGATTCTAGGCGTTAGCCAGATGGATGCAATAAGGATGAAGGGGAACAAACTCTGGGCAGAGGGAAGAATGTGGGCAAAAATAACAGACATGGTAGTGAAAATGTGCTTATGTTTTAGGAATTGCACACAATTCCGTGAACACTAATTGAAATCAAACATAATAAATTTATTGTGCTTCCCCTTCATTACTTCATAAATCAAAATTGTCTGAATGTGAATTTATATAGTAATGCAGCTCAGGATTGAACTACTATGATGTAACCAGATGGATCCCACTTAAGGATATGAGGTAGCGAAGTTTTGCTTACTGTCTGGGGAAGAGATTAGTAGAAGACCCTAAGAATTAATTTTTAAAATATAATTTTGTTACAAGTTTAGAAAGGCTTGACAAATTTGAAGGCGTTTTTCACTAGCAAGATTCTATCAAAAATTTAGGTATAAGAAGGGAAAGAGAAGAGATTATAATATATTTACCTTGAATTCTGATTTTTGAAAGTTAAAGCAATATGAACTTGGCTTGTGGAAAATATATATATTCCTGAAAAACATTTATAACAGGTTATTGTCATTATACACAACAGACTAGTACGACATGTTAAGTTTCTTAAAATCAAATAATGATAGGTAGAACAAGGTAAAGACACATGAAAGTTAAAAAATAGTAGCAATTCAGAGAGAAAAAAGTGGTTGCCAGGGCTGGGGGGTGAGGAAAATAGGGAGAGCTTGGTAAAGGGTACAAACTCTCAGTTATAAGAGGAATAAGGTCTGAGGATCTAATGTATAACATGGTACACTGTATCATATAATTGAAATTTTCCAAGAGAGTAGAACTTAAATGTTCTCAACAACAACAACAAAAAAAGGTAAATATGTGAGTTGATGAATGTGTTAATTAACTCACTGGGAGGAATCTTTCACAATGTATACATGTATCAATTCATCACCATGCACACTCTAAATATCTTACAATTTTATTTATCAATTATACCTCAACAAAGCTGGGAAAAAAATAACAACAACTGTATTGACTTAGTTGCCCTAAAGGGACAAAAATGATCTCTCTCAGTGAATAAAGTGTCCTCATCTTCATCATTAAATAAGTCTTTGAGGATAAGCTGAAAAGGGACTTAGCGTGGTTAGGCTATTAATGTTCTCTATGTGGACAATCGACTCACCCATTTTTTCTTCTAACATTTTCGTTTGATACTATATCAACACTAGACTAATATTGGCTTAACTCTTTTAAATGATAGATAAAAATTAATAGCTTATATATCCACTATATTAAATACACACACAAAAAATTATACTTACTCAAAGCATACAGAAAAGTCTTCAAAATCTAACCATATTTCTTTAGAAATACCAGTATTTATTGCTGTAAGTTCCTCCTGCGATTTTTCCTGTGTTTCTGTCGTCTGGCTGACCAAATCTCTTTCCAAACTAATTCTCTCAGCTTGATGGGCTGCATCATTCAATCCAAGGTCTGTTAGCTCATCTGTGCATAGCAGAAGATAAACATGTCAAATACACCTATGTGGTTAAATATGAAGTTATTAAGAAAGGGAAATTTATAGATGGAAGTTCGCATATCAAAATTTATTTTGAGAAAACATTTACTGATACAGTCATTTACGTGCAGCCCTCAAATTTGTGGAGGTCCATACAGAGACACATTTTCATACTCTTGGGAGAATTGAATCACAATTTATACGTACAGTAGAGTATTCAGAAATTTTGAAATCATTTTCATAAATTTGTGCACACATTCTTTATAGATTATAGTTATAACAGAAATTAGCTAGCTTATGTACTTAAAATCTGCTATAGACAGACATATTCATATAAGGGACGGCTCAGACAATAGAAGAAGACAGAAAAACTTGAAAGATTTATTGCAACAAATGTATTTCTATAAGATCTATTGCAATAAATGCATTTATTCATTATTGCAAAGATCTACTGCATTTATTGATTACTGCGAAAAATAGCACATTTATTCAATTATTTCAAAGATCTATTGCAATAAATGCATTTATTATTTCAATTAAGCCACTTAATTGCTCCCTATAGTCAGTGATTCTGTGATCTTATTTTATGTTTATCAAGTAATGCATAAAATTCTTATAGACTTCTTGAACCAGAATTTTATATAGACACATGCCACATACTTTTTTGAATTTGAGGCTTGGCTAAGTCCCTATTTAGGAACTGAGGAATTTGTAATGGTTCATAACGTGCATGCATCAAAACACATGGACTTTACTCATGGGCCCTTAATCAAATCGTCTTTTATTTGGACTTTAAGCTTGAATTTAACAAGTGAGATTATCTGATTTTTTTAGTCCAGAGCAGACTAGACTCAACACATCAGAGGAGGCTGGAGAGAGGCAGAGAGCCAGGAGAAGGGAGAGCTAAAAGCTATCAAGAAGCAGAGACTGCTTTGTGCTTTGATGTCTGTGAAAAAAATCATGAGAAGTTTATTAATTTACCTTTTCCAGGTATAACTTGTGAAGCAACATTACCCTGTGAATTGAAAGGAACACATTAAGAAACCACTTATAAATTCAACAAAATATTATAGCTGTCTAAAGCATCAAACTTTTTAAAAGAGGAAATAGTCTTTAAATATTCAAGAAATAGATTTCTGCAAATACTTACTAAAAAATACAGTAAAACAGAGAATTTACTTTTAACCTTAAAATTCAAAAGATGTGAATTTAATTAAATTGGCTGAGGGTTTAAGTTTATTGACATTTAAACAAAGAATATGTGAATTTATCATATGATTGAATCTTATAATAAAGTTAAATTAAAACAGTATCTCTAAGTAGATATGGTACTTGGTATGAGGCACTTGTCATTAATACGGATTGAGTATAATGAGATTATAATTGGCAATTAATGTATAGAACCTAGAAAGGCTGGTTTCAGATTATAAAAATTGTTCCTCAAAATTTTAACACGGAAATTAAGTTGAATTCACATGTACAGCTCTGTTTTCTCTGGAATACAATTAAAATAAGGTTAAAAGATAAAATGGTATAACCTCATATAGACCGATAATGGGTGATGTCAACAATATTTTGGATGATGTAAAGTGGATGAAGGAGATAACAGAGTAGAGATAAGTGAATACTAAGGGCTAGTGAGAAGCAAGCCCATCCGTGTCTTAGGACCCCAGAAGCAATTAGCAGGCATCTGAGACGGAGAGAATGAGATATGGGCTGAAAATACAAGATTGGGATGAATGTCTATATAAGGAACAGACAAATCCCCTCTTCTTCTCCCTAATCCCTTCTGGCTTAGTATGTAGCCCTCTTCTGTCTAAACAGGCCACTAGAAGTTGCTTCAAGTCCAGAAATTAAATGAGAAATCTCCGGATCTGAGTTCACAGATACCATGGGAAGCAGGAGAGGCTACTCTACAGAGAGCAGAGGAATTAAGTGAAAGACCATAGGCTGAACCTTGGAACTCCCAGCTCCTCTGTGCTGCTTGGCCTCAGTAACACTGATGGATAAGTGCACACCAACCCCTGTGACCCCATTCAAGCCCAGCAGGGAGATTAGAGGACCCTTAACTGGAGAAATTGATCAGAGCCAGAGAAAAAGCCCAGGGAATCTGACATTTGGAGCTAATCATACCCCAAAATGAAGTTCATTCATCCCCAGTTACCTAAATTAAAGTTTCCAGTTGACAAACTGTATCCATGCTATAAAGCTGCTTCCATTAGCAGCTCTTTACTGTCGTAAATTCCTTAAACACATATGTACAACAAAGTATCACCAGACAATTGAGGAAAGACTCTTACATGAAAGAAAGAAAATAATGGATGTGGGTGGGGAAATTCCCAGAAAACAAAAACAATAATATAGACAGCAATTTTTAAAATTAGCAATATCAGAAAGATAAAAGGATATCCATCTATCAAATAAGATATTCTACAAAAATATAATCAAGAACAAGAGAAAGCTCTTTAAAAGTAGGAAAAAAGTGAAATAAATTCAACAGAAAGTTTGGACAGTAAGTTATATAAAAGACAAAGAGACTAAAACTAGAAAATTTTTAGAAGAAAATAATAGATGAAAATCCTCATGGAATTGGATTCGGCAATGATTTCTTGGATATGAGACCAAAAGCACAGACAACAAAAGTAAAAATAGATTAATTAGAATACACAAAAATTAAAAATTTCTGTGCATCAAAGAACATAATCAAGAGTGAAAATGTAACCTACAGAATGGGAAAAATATTTGCAAATCATTCATCTGATACAGGATTAACATAGAGAATATACAAAGAACTTCTACAAAGAGCAACAACAACAACAAAACTTGATTAAAAAATAGGCAAAAGACTTGAATAGACATTTATCCAAAGAAGACATAGAAATGGTCAACAAGCACATGAAAAGATGTTCAACATCACTAATCATTAGGGAAGTGCAGATCCAAGCTACAATGAGACATCACCTCACACCCATTAGGATGGTTATTATTAAAAAACAACAACAGGAAATAAGTGTTAGTGAGGATGTGAAGAAATTGGAACCCTTGTGCACTCTTGGTGGGAATATAAAATGGTACAGTCGCTATGGAAAACAGTGTGGCAATTCCTGGGAAAAAAAATAGAATTACCATATTGATCCAACAATTCCACATGTGGGTATATACCCAAAAGAAATGACAGCAGCATCTCCTAGAGATATTTGTACACCCATCTTCATAGCAGGATTATTCGCCAAGTGATCATTGATGGATGAATGGATAAACCAAATACGGTATTTACATACAATGGAATATTATTCAGCCTTAAAAAGGAAAGAAATTCTGACACCTGCTACAACATGGATGAACTGGGAAGACACTGTAGTAAGTGAAATAAGCCAGTCACAAAAATACAAATACTGTACGAGTCCACTTACCCAAGGTACCTAGGGTAGTCAAATTCACAGAGACAAAAAGCAGAATGGTAGTTTTAAGGGGCTCACAAGAGGGGGAATGAGGAATTGTTGTTTAATGGGTATAGAGTTTTAGTTTTGTAAGACGAAATGAGTTCTGGGGACCGCCTGTACAGTTATGTGAATGTACTTAATATTATTGTACTGAGAAGAGGAAATTCTCGAGGAATAGTATAAGAAAATCCTCCAGAACTGAAAAACACGAGTTTCCAGGTACGCCTTGGGAGTACCCAGACACTTACATAAAAAGACTCATACCAAGGCCAATCATTGTGAAATTCCATTATTCCAAGAATGAAAAGAAAGTCATAAAACTTTCCGAGAGGACAGAGAGTCACATACAAACGATCAAGAATCGCAATGTCATCTCTATTCTCAAGAGCAGTGCTTTGCTATACACACACATGGTAGAATGATTAACAGGATCAAGGTAATTAATACACCCATCACCTCACATGACTAACACAGTTAACTCTTCTTTTTGTGTGTGTGTGGTGATGTTCAATAAAGTTGAATAAAAAAAAGAAAGAAAGGACAATGCTTGAAGGTAGAAGACAAGGGATCAAGAAAGAGCTTCAAAAATTCTGAAAGAAATGACTTCGAAACTGGAATCCTATATTCCACCAAAACATAAATCAGGCGGGAAGGTGGAAGAGAGACATCGGCAGGCATACAAGTTCTCACAATTTTCACTTCTCCTACATCTTTTCTCAGGAAGTATTGGAAGGTGTGCTCCAGCAAAATTAGGGTATATACTCAGAGGAGAACATAGTGAGGAAATCAGTCAGAGGAGAGAGGTGCAAGTTTCCATCAGCGTAAACTAGAGCAAGAGGGCAAAGGGTTCAAGAGGTGATGTCTCCAGGAACACAATGGGCATTTATAGAATATCTCATGTGTTTGACTGTGTGACAAATGGTGTTTAGAGGGATTTTCTTTTTTTTTCTTTTTTTAAGGTTTGGGAAGGCCTACTAATGTGTCATAGAAAAGCAATCTAATGAAAAAAATGCAGTAATTAGCTTGTACAAAAAGTTGTATAAGAAAAGACATGTCATCGTGTTTGCCTCAGCGGTAATAATCATTACATAGCTAGGTGCACATGTACACAGAGTCATGCAAGAATAGTCGTGGTACCATTGCTCGTGGTCGTGAGAAACAAGAAGCAATGAATATAGTCATTAACATCATGAAAGATGAAACAAAATGGTAGGCTAGTTATACAAGAAATAACTTCCAGCAGTGAAATGAACGAGCTGTGACATGCAACAAGGGAGACGAATCTCATCAACGATGTTAAGTGAAAGAAGTCCCAGAAGAATTAACACAAAAACCCATTTAAATAAAATTATATAACAATTAAACTAACCTATATATATTTTAATGAATATATACATAATTGGCAAAATTAGAAGAGTTTGGAGTTGATCAATACCAAACTCTGAATGGCAGATAGAAAATACAACCCAGAACAGACATGGAGGGGACTTCCTTAAAAGGTGAATATTCCATTTTCTAATCTAGGTGACGGATACATAAGAAGCTTGTTTAATAGTATTCTTTATTCTGCTCAGATGCATCTTATACATTCTTTTATGTAGAATATATTTCACAATTTAACAAAAAATCTTTTATGGTTAAGAATTATAAACGTGAGTAATAATAGTAACAGTTACCTGAGATACAGTTCCCGTCAATTGACTTAAGTCCTGCTGGCTAACGGCGGTAGTTTCATCATTTTCCATAAGGGAAGGTAAACCAGATCCTAGTGGCACCCCTTTCTTAATAAAAGATTGTACAAAACGACTAATGGAAAAATGAAACGAGACTTCTGTTATCTTAATCTCTTGTTGAAAGTAACTAATAAATAACTGCTGTTTTTTAATGGAGGTATAATTGACATACAACATTATATGCGTTTCAGGTGTACAACATGATTCGACATTTATATATATTGCAAAATGTTCCCCACAACAAGTCTAGTTAACATTCATCACCACTCAGCTACAATTTTCTTCCTTGTGATGAGAACTTTAAAGATTTACTCTCTTAACTTTCAAACATACGATGTGGTATTATTACCTATAGTCACCATGCTGTATATTAACCCCCAGGACTTATTTATCTTATAACTGGAAGTTTGTACCTTTTGACCCCCTTCACCATTTGCAACCCCCCTCCCCGCCTCTTGCAACCATTAATCTATTCTCTGCATCTATGAGTTTTGTGTTTTTTTTAGATTCCACATATAAGCGAGATCATACGATATTTGTCTTTCTCTGTCTGACTTATTTCACTTAACATAATGCCCTCGAGGTCTATCCACGTTGTCAAAAATAGCAAATTTTCCATTGTATATTAAGTAACTGCAGTTTTGTCAACAAGAGAATGTTCTGATTTTGTTCTATCATTCTCATTCTTTTACAACCATTAATATTTTTTGCTTCATGTTAAAAATGTTGAACTGCTTTCTACACTACTGAAGAGATAGTTTCTATTAGTCAATGCATTGGTGTAATTTCCTGGACACTATTTATTTTAAAGCTATGGTCATCATCTTTGAATGTTGATGGTCAGAACATGGGAAGTGGACAACATTTAGAATTGATTTAGCTAAGTGTCAGAGTAATGTATCAGCGAAATAAGGCTCAAAGCCAGAAATTTAATTACGAGTCTTGAGCATTTAAGTTTATAACTGTGACATTCATAGCAGCTACCCAAACATACAGTGTTTCCTTTCAAGTAATCGCTGATGTGACCCAAGTCACCATTGCCATAGCTAGTCGCTTATAGGCACAATAAAAAGACATTTGTTATAGTATATATATTTTAGGTGAGTGTATTTCAAAGATAAAATTAAATTTCATGTATACAAGTTTCCTAAAATAACAGATTTTTTCCTTGCTAGAGTTCGGTAAAACTTAATTCACCTCAAGCTAAACCTCTCTGATTTACCTGACACTGCCACTAGAGGGTAGCACAAACATATTTGTGAGGCTCTGATTCTTTCAAACAAGCCCGGGAGGCAAGAACGGGGCAAATCTGGGTGTGGGTACAAAGATGGTGCTTCAGTGAAGGGCGGTTGTAACAGCAGCCACTCTCAAGGGCTAGCCAAAGAAAGGGCTTGCTCTTATGCTGATCTGAGGACTCTGACTGTACAGCAAAGCGGGACGAGGGTCGTGTCTTTCTCACAGGATGAAATGCCATTCACATATCTTTGCTTCGGGCTCTGGCAGATAGGAGGAGTATGCTAGGGAATTCATAACAGATCCAAGCGGTGAATAGACTAGTTGAAGCCCGTCAAATGTCGAAGTCACCTGGATCTGGGTTACAGAATTTTATCCACCTTAATAAAGTAAGAAAAGTGAAAGAGACATAAGAAAATCAAGTAAGGGAGTAACTTGGAGAGTTCAGGTTACGAGACCAACCAATTTGTGGTCCCTAATGGCACGGAGATTCTAGAAGTCTGGGTGTGGCATTTTGAATCATGAAAGAATTTGTCCTGGTGGTCTGTAGCTCTGCTTCTTACGATCCACAAAGTCTCTGATTAGCATGCAAACTTCATCTGCTGACTGATAACCAAAAATTATTTGGAATGGTGAAATCATCATCTTAGTGGGTAGTGTTAAGTATAAAATTAATTAGAAAAATGATGAAGCATTCACATTTTTATGCGGTTTAGGAAAATTCTGTGTGTATGTGGTATTTTGCCTTTTTTAACATATGAAAGAATTTAGCATGTTACATAATCCAACAAATTAGGCTCTAAAATGTATATCTTAATATTTAATTTTAGCTTTATTAGTAAGTTAAAAGGTATAAGAAAATCTTGGTTTGTAAAAGCTAATAGTATGTATAGGAAAAATTAAGGTTCTCAAAATACATGAGTTTGAGTATTTGAACTTTTATGATGATTTAAATACTTGGCAAGATTTTATTTGCTATAATTTTTGGCTTTTAAAGTACTTTAAGAGAAAATAAAATATAATAATGTTGTAAATGCAATTTAAAATGTTTAAATAAATGTTGCTAATTAAATTTATTTAAAAATTTTATAGACATTAATAGATTTATGTATAAAGTAAGATTTATTATAAGTTAAAATGAAAGTTTGAGAAAAACTAGATTTACGAATTTGTTAACAGTAACAAATTTTTAAAACCAAAGTAGCAGTAAATTGTCTTTTCTGTTACAAAGCTGTCCCTCATGGCTTGACATCGCTAACTGCCAACGTCTGTCTACTGGGGCTGCCCAGGGGTCTCTCCTCACACGCTTTTGAATGTTCAATCATTGATGTCTAGAAATGACAGAAGCCTTAAAGATAAAAGATTTGAAGAATATCTCTAATATTTTCAACTTTGATAGAGTTCATAAAATGTAAATTAACTGGCTATGACATAAAGAGGCTTCAAAAATAGGACAGTATAATGAACAGGCTTCTGATCTGAATTTTGACTGCTTTTCTTCATCAGCTTATACTCCTGTCATAGATTTTAATATAGCCAAGAGAAGGCTAAACCATGTCTAATGGTCATTGTATGTGTGACCTATAATATACGCCATTCAAACATTTTACTAAACTTTTATTGAAGACTGAAATACATTCAAAAAAGTACACAAATCCATCAATGTAAAACTTGTTGAAAAATCACAAAGTAAAAATGGCCATATCACCATTATTCAGATCAGGGGATACTGATATGACTAGCACCGCACAGCCCTGCCAGATATATCCCCCAATCACAGCCATTACTCCTCACCAAAGATAATCACTATCATGACTTCCAACACCATATATTGCTTTTTATTTTTCTTTTCTCAGTGTTTAAAATAGAATAATAAAAAGCAAACAATGTACTTTTTTTTTTTTTGGTGAAGATTAGCCCTGAGCTAACATCTGTGCCCTTCTTCCTCCACTTTATATGGGACACTTTATATGCGCCACAGCACAGCTCGATAAGCGGTGCGTAGGTCCGTGCCTAGGATCCGAACCTGGGCTGCCAAAGCAGAGTGCATGAACTTAACCACTACGCCACCGGGCAGACCCCCGTGTACTTTTTATACCAGATTTCTTTGGTCCATTTTTTGTGTGTGAGATTCATCCACGTTGATTTTTGGAGCAGAATTTCTTTCTTTATATCAACATATTATTGTATTACATTTGCCTTTGGTTTTCCTATGATGTAACTATCCAGTCGCCTTCACAGCAGCCACTCCAACACTGGCCTCAGGTAAGGCCTCCGTTGAGCCTCTGAAGTGCAACTTTAAACTGAAGATGATGCGTGGGTGATGGAGGAAGAGAGGCAAGGTGAGACCTCAAACACTTCCACCAGGAAGATGACGAGGCACGACACCCAGAAGGAGAGTCACCTGTGTCACAGGCTGACGGCACATTCTTCCACCTCCTTCACCATCACTGACATCAGGACGCCTCTATTCAGGGTTCTAATTGTTTCTGCAAAATAGGTTCTTTGAGGGCTTTACAACCACAGAGCTTGTGACATGCCTTTGTCATGGCAATTATTCCATTTTATTGTAATCATTTACTTAGATATCTGGCTTCCTCCAGAAGCTGGTATCTATATGGGTCAAGACAAGTGTGTTATCTTTTTATCTCCACGTGAAATCTAGTGCCTTGCTGTGTTAGTTTTCTAGGGTGGCCATAACCAAATACCACAGGCTGGGGGGCTTAAACAACAGCAGTTTTTTTCTCACAGTTCTGGAGGCTGGAAGTCCGAGATCAGAGCGCCAGCCTGGGCAGTTTCTGGTGAGGAGTCTCTTCCTGGCTTGCAGCCAGCTGCCCTTTCACTGTGTCCTCACATGGTCTTGCCTCAGTACATGGAGAGAAGAAGAGAGAGAGTCCTCTGGGGACACGAATCTTACGACCTCATTTAACTGTACTTACTTCCTTGGAGGCCCCATCTCCAAATACAGCCACACTGGGGTTAGGGCTTCAACAGATGAGTTTTAAGGGAACATAAACACTGAGCCCATAACACTCACACATAAAAGCAGCCCAGAAAATGTTTGTGAGATCAGTGGATTAGCGAAATCATAAGCTATACCAGATCAAGGAACTATCCTTTAGTATGTTTCATACATATTTGGCCTTTTTGTTAAATGAATATTCTTCAAAATGCTCCCATTTAGTGTTATTTTTAGCCACACAAATCACAAAATACTTCTTTTGAGAACAAGATGAATTTGTGGGAAAGAATGCTATGGACTTACGTTTCTGTTGGAATTTTAAATGGAGACATTCTATAGTTCAAAAACGGACTTGAAATCTCGAGAAACTGTTCAGGTTTCTTTATTATTGGTTCTAAAAAGAAACAGGCAGTGTGATGTACTTTTTAAAAAATCTTCCAAGATTACATGTGAAACTTAACAATTTAATGCAGTTCTCATTAGATTACTATTTTCCCGACAAATTTCAAGAAAGTTAAATAGGAATGTACTAGGACACATAAGGTTTTTTTTTTTTTTTTTTAAATTGAAAAAGCTTGATGGATCCTGCCAGTGTTAGATTTCTTTAGTCTACTCCTCAACTGCTTTCCAGATTTACTATGTAACACAATGAAGTCCCGATGGAGAAAGTCAGCAATGTCTTCAGGAGTTACTCCTTGGCGTTTGCTTCTGTTTCGAGTACAGGAATGACTTTTTATAAGTGTTTTACTGAAACGTGTGTTCTCTTAGTTAACCTCTATCACACTATTGCTCAGGATGTGAAGAGGAAATGTGGACTGATTCACTCGATAGCAGTGGAAGAACAGAATATGCAACAGAGTAAAGACCATGAGTAGAAAAGAAGGCGGCTAGTCAAGGAGGATGGGTGGGCGGTCCTGAGGGAGTCTCAAGCTGACCTAGCAGTAAGAAATTCTCAGTGGATATGGGACACAGCCCATGCACTAACATGGTGGACACTGACATTAAACAGTGTGGAGGATTATTTTAACAAATGCTCCCGCAGTGGTGGAAAGATGCCCACTGAAGGGAAAAAAGTGAGGCTCTGACACAGTGCACGTGATTTTTCTGTGCTTGTTCTGGGGTAACCTCTAAATTGATCTTCTGTTAATTTTCACTTTAAATATTAAACCCAATAGAGAGAAGAAAGACAATTACGTGGTGAGCCTCGAGGTGGGACACTGCAATCATGGAGTGGCACCAATCCTTAGATTTTCTTCCCCGGCTGACAAAAGCTGTCACTAACACAGAATTACACAACAAGCAGTAGTGAAATCAGGAAATAGCTGTATGTTCCATATTTTTCCTTTCATCCAGCTGCTCCTTGATGCTCTGAATGAACAGCTGTTTTAAGTGTGGCTCTATGCATTTCACTAAAATACAGAGTTTAAAAGTACAGTCATGCGTTGCTTAAGGTAGGGATACGTTCTGAGAAATGTGTCGTTAGATGATGTCATTGTTGAGCGAACATCATAGAGTGTACCTACACAACCCTAGATGGTAGAGCCTACTACACACCTAGGCTATATGGTATTCATCTTATGGGACCACTGTCGTCTATGCGGTCCATCGTTGACCAAAACATCGTTATGTGGCGCGTGACTGTAAAAGATTTTCTTTCCTTTTGGGCATCATGTGACTTTCTTAGCACCAACAGCCCACTGCAGACACTCAAGGAGTGTAAAGAAATGACTGAAATAATCAAGCAGCACGGAGAGCGGGAGACACGCCTAAATAAAAAACAAACTGGCCATTTCTCCTCTCCATCCAAACCAGACATTTCTTTCATCTTTGTTCTTTTCTGGCAAGAATAAAACATGTTATGCTAGAAATCTTTGCTGCCAGCTGTCCTGGCTGAATCAGAAAGCAAATGTGAGGAAAATTGCATGGTTAACAGTTGTTATTTATATTTTAAAAATGTGGGAATTATGGATGGAAGTAGGAGGCAAGGAAAAGGTACGTATTCCAATCTGTGTGGCTATTGCAGTTTAGGATCCTGAGGACCGCAGAGACTTATGTATTACACTGTGACCAAGATATGGTTCTCTCGTCACCTGCAATGAAAGATCAACAACACTTAAACTGGTATCAGGAGCCACAGCAAACACCACCAATAGGGGTACAAGCCATGGTGCATGGGACCAAATGCTTAAAGCATATTTATAAGCCTCAGAGTGATGCCTTCAGTAAACCAGCATGAGGTATGTTCATTGTGGCTCTGCCTTCATTGTTCATTCAGGTGGCAGGCGGTGAACACAGCCCCAGTGCATTAACCTCTAGAATGTGGTGTACTGTTGCTAGATGAAGCCAGAAAATAATGAGATATTAGAAAAGACAGAGGGAGAAAATGCAAAAGTAAGGAAATGAACACAAAAAAACATAACAAAATAGTTTTTGTTATTATTAAACATAATTTAAGCTTTTTAGCATGAGAAACATATATTTATATTATGTATAGATACACACACATACGTATGTATATATAATCCATAGCACTCCAATTCTCTATCATCCTTCATTAAAAACTTCGAGAACTAAATTAGCTAGGGAAAGGGTATACGTATGTTGAATAAACATAAACAAATTATGAGTTATTCTGTTAGGCTGAAATTTTTAAATTATTAGTGAGTTTTTTTTTTTTTTTTTTTAGTCCTCTCTTCTCGTGTTCGCGATGGATTCAAATCGCTTTCAAATGGATTTTTGATTTATGGTCTCGCTCATTTCTTCTCGTGCCATCTTGGTCTGTCTTCCATCCAGACTTGGGGCTCGTGGAAAAAGGAGTAAGAATGAAGACTTGTAGAGAAAAAGATTGAAGGAGTAAAGAATTAGACGTGTATTGTGATGAATTTAGAAAAGAACCATGAGAATAAAAACAAGGTGGGAAAGTCCCTCGGCCCCACTCTCGGCCGGTGTGAGCCTGCTTATTTCTGAGGAAAACTGCCATTCCTGTGGCTGTGTGACAATATTGACACAGGAGCCAGTCCAGGGAAGCAGTTCAATTCTCACAGGAGTTCTAAATAGAAATCAGTTAATTCAAAGATTACGTCCTACAGGGTACCATAGAGTGATTACCACATTAGAAATTCACTCCAGTGCCTTAACTTATGCTATTAAGTTTCTAGAGTATTTGTTACAAACCACTTTTTTATCACAATAATAATAACAATGCTATCACCCAAAGAATGGGCTTGACACATCCAGTCAGCTTAGATGTGAACCAGACTTCTGAGATGTGGAGAACTAATCCTTTAAAGACATGAACTTTGGATATGAGTGAAATGTGGGCTGTAGGTGTAATGTTGAGTGGTTTGCCTTGAGACTTATCTTTCATTACAAATGGAACTATTAGACCTTTGTACAGAGAAATATTAATTAGAAAGATTTTCAGACAACATGAACCATACCTTGAGCTTCATCTGTTATAACAGTTTCTTTTTTTTGACGGATGAGTTTCCAGGGAGGGACAAGAGGTGATTTCGGAGGTGCTATCAGGGGGCAAGATCTGGTTCTGGTCACCAGCACGGGATGGCTACAGATGTGGGAAAGCCCATATTCTCTCAGCTTCTCAGCAGAATCGGCCTACAAGGGGCAAGGCACATTTAAAAGGATTCTTGCAATTGCCTCATGCATTTAAAATAATACTTTTTGTCATTGTAAAAATACTCTCACCACTATAGACATATAGTGCTAATAAAGAAAAAAATAACTGCCCATATTTCCACCTCCCTTAAATAAGCAGTATTACCCTTGTATTTCTTTCCATCTTTTAATTTTTCTTTAAATTTTTTCATTGCCTTATTTAAAAAATGAGAAACTAGAAAGAGAAGCCACTTTTTAGGTAAAAGTTTAGGATTCCATGAGATTGCAAAAATCTTAGCATCAGTTTTGGTCCAAAATTAATCAACTATTATTTTTACAGGTTAAAGCTTTGATACAAGAGCTTAATGTGTAAAGCTGTTTTTTTTTTAAAACACCAGCAATCGCTACATAGTGTTCAGAAAAATCCACTGCACTAGGGTGTCAGATCGAGGAGGAGGTACAGTTGCCTTGGGTACGGTTTATGTCCTGCCTCCCAATCAGCCGCTCCCCCAGGAAATCCCCATGACCACTCCTAACAATGCAGGCATTCACAGGAGGACGGAGGAGAGAGGCTGCGCTGTGTTCTGCCAGATCAAGTCATTTCCCAGGCAGATGCTTCCCTGTTCAGATCTCCTGAAGCCACTCGGCTTTGGAACAACTCAGAATAATATTTAAGCAGAACTTTAGTTACTGATAGACGGCTGAAATACGCCGTAAGAAATCACCTAATTCAAGAGTAGAGAAAATTGTCACAGCCCTTGTATCCCTTTCGTGAACGTTAGCAATTTACTGAAAAAATTCAGAAATCTCTGGAATTGTGCCTTATAGTGGCTTAAAAATTTTTTTCATAGATGTTCTAAAGTCTAAACCTTTTTCTACAACTTTGTCAAATTTTAGGTTTCCCAACACTTGAAAGTAATCTTTCAATGGGAATTTATGGGAGAATTTATTGATTCAGTATAGTAATAAAAAAAAAGTACATCATTGTAAAATTTTCACTTAAGATCCAAAATAGAAGTCATAGCCAAAGTAATATTTATAAGTTGAATCATTTCCAGATAGCTTACTATTCATAAAATTTGGTCTACATATCTCAATTCCTTCTTACAATCGCAACCAAAGTTGTAGTCTATTTGCTTTCTTTTTTAAGCTAGAGAGTATTAGAAAATAAAACAATTTAAAGCATTTTGAAAAGGCAAGGTATTGTCTCAAATAATTAAGTATGGTATTAGCACTTATTGTATTGTTTAAATAATCAGCAAAAGTACAAGTTGATTTAAGGTGTGTAGGCTAATTTCTCATACATTTTATTTCCAACATACTACCCAATATCTCTGAATGATACAAAGTAATGCTATTAATAATAGTTATAGTTTGATGTTGAGAAACTTTGTTAAAGGATCTCAAATTTCCTTAGATTAGAGTTATGGACGGAGAGAGGTTTAGAATAATAAAACATTCTGGTGAAATAGTGAGCAGGCGCTCAAAAAAATGTTTGAATAATTCATGTGGCAGACTTAAATTAGAAGTTTGCTTACCTAAGGCTCTTTCACTGCTTTACCCTATCCCACCTCAAACATTCTGTAAGTGGGGAGCTGAGAAGGTGGGGGGCTTTTTTTAGAACTCCCAGATCACCCATTTAAATAAAACTAAAACTATTTAGAATGCCCAACAGCAAGAGGATGGGGGATAACCTGGGGGTAATTCATGACACCTTGTTTCTCCCCAAGTTTTGTTGTTTTCTCATGTTCTTCACCAATTCTTTAAATTAATGTTAGATATTGACTTTATTTTACATATTGGTCTCATTGTCTTTGGGGCTATAATTTCTAGCAATGTACTCCATTGAACAAAATTCCTTTAGAACAAAAGATTTTTGCTGTTGATTTATCTTTAAAACATTATATCTCCGTTATATTCCGATTTTTACCAGAACTAGATCATCCTAGCAGCTAATATAAAATAATCAGTAGGCAAGTCAGGGAGTCGGTGAACTATAGTCAGTTCATTACAGCCTTGAGGTTCATTTAATTACTGTTACAGACACTCGGCTAATTCCTGGGCCCCGTAAGTCATTGTCATCCCTCACAGGGAGGATTTATAATATTCTTTATGTCGTGACTCCCTCCCACATCTCAAGCTGCCTCTAAGACTTCTCCTCTTGCAATCTATTCAACATCTAGTAGTTCCCTGAACCCAGTGGGCTCTCCTTCACCTCCGCACTTTCCAACATAAGCTTCCCTCTGTTTCAAGCACAAGTTTTCCTATTTACTAAGCTAACTTCTTAAAGCCATAGCTTAAACATTTCTCCCTTTGGGGAGATGTCCCTAGTCAACCACTAGACAGAAATATGTATTTCCGCTATGAGTGATATATTCATTTTTCCACTCATTAATTCATTCATTCATTTGGTCACTCATCGAACATGCAGTATTTGAACACTACGTCTACCATATACCAGGCATCTTGTATGCCCTCTGTTATACCAATTGTTTAACTTTATTGCTTGTCTGCCTTCCTCATTTGACTTGAACTTTGTGAGGAGGGACCATGTTAATCTTTCTCATCATGGTGTCCTCAGAGCATTGTTTAGCATGTAATAGATAATTAATAAACATCGGTTGAATTAATGAATAAGCACGTGAGTTTTTTGTCTTTTAAATTCAAAACTAACTTTGTGTTTAAATGTTAGTTTTCCAGTAGGACAGCCAAAAGCTCAAATGGATTATCTTGTGCCCCTTTTTTTGATAATGCATTCATCCCATACGTATATTTTGTAGTTTTAAAAAGTGTTTAAGTACTTCCCATACATGAGACGATGGCACTCCACAAAGCACAGCTCATGTGTTTTGTTGTCCAGTGTTAGAGCGTTTAGTCTCTCTGGAATATTTAAGACAGCACCTCGGCCAGTGCCTTGTAAAGAGATTTAAAAAAAAAACTAGGGCTGAGATGGCCAGCTTGAATCTTCACAAGAGACTCAAGTTGGACAGAGGCCTTGGAAGCAGACTTGGATTTAATCATGACTAAAGTTAATTAACTTTGAATTAAAACAGAGAAACTGCCACTATCTTTACGTTCGTAGTGGCACATTATGTCCTACTGCCTTGACAATATTACTCCTGTTATATGGCAGACTTCTGCAGGAAAGAATGGTTTCTATCCAAAAAGGAAGAAGGAAGAGGAAGAAGAAGAAGGGGGGAGAGGAAGAAGAAGGAAGAAGTAATGATAACATTATGCCCCTTGGTTAAATCATCTAGACGACAGAAGTAATCCACACAGCAAAGCACAACAATCATCCAATTGGGGTATTCACATTTCAACCAAACTTCCATTGAATTCTTAGACTCGCTGTTCCTAACCAACCAAATGAACATTTCAACACATAATTATATCATTGAACCATCTAGTCTTCTTATACTTTAATGTAGTGATTTCATAACGTGGAATTCTACAAATAAAGTGGTAGATGTAAAAGTCCCCCACAGGGTTAGCATTCAATAAACTCCAAATGCAATAGGGCATTACCATAGGTAGATTGAAGAGGAATCTGGTGGGCTGCCCCTTTGTAACAGAAGGAGAAAAATGATTTTTATGTCCAAGAACTAAAGATAACTCAAAAAATGATGGGAAACCCATACTTTCCATGCAACTACTGAATATCATTTTGTCAAATATTTAACATCATGGACAAATGGTACTGATACAGTGTCAAGTGAAAAAGTTGGTTTCCAAACAGAACGTAAAATTTAATTCTGCTGTGTAATAAAAGTATATATATATATATACACACACAGACTATACGTTCAGAAGAAAAAAACCCAAAGAATATATGCCAAAATGTTAACAGTACCTATATCTAGGTAATTATACTATGAATATTTTAATTTCATTCCCTTTGTCTATATTTTCTAAATTTTCTATAAGTTTTCAGATTCATAAGAAAAAAGCAATTAACATTTTTGGGGTATATAATTTTAGGATACAAGGAGGTTACAGCCATGGTTTACCAGCTCTGGATGTGAGTTCATTTAAATCATCTTAGTTAAGAAAATATGTACAATCTGTTTATGGAAAGGTGATTTATTATTATTTAGAAATGATTCTTACTGAAATATATAATTTATGTGCCTTTTCTTTTGCTTGTCACGGAAGGAATTGATAAAAATATATGAGACTACATCCTTTTTTCTTTTAGACGGAACTATTGCAATCATCTAAGATAATTTTGGATGTTATAAGTCCCTACGTTCAAGCGCCTAATTTTAAAGATAATGAGACTGAAATCCAGGAGTAGCATTTTAATTAAATTCTGGTATACCTTGTACCACAACAAATAATCAGACACACACACACACACTGTCAATGATACTGCATTTCCTGCCCTTGAGTGCTTACCATCTTCTCTAACGAAAAGATCTTCTTTTCAAACAAATAGAGAGGTGTAAAGGTAGCATATACAACCATGTGAGGGGACTGTATTCCCGAAGAACCTGTAAAAACAAACATATATTGTGTCATGGAAATTCTAGCCAAAGTGGGCCTGTCACTGGCCCTCCCAGATTCTTCCAAGTCCTTAATGAACTTATCTTTGCTGGTGAAAAACAGGTAAATGACTCTAAATGTATTTAATAAATGTCAAATCTCAAATGTACACCTATTTTATAGAATGTCTCATTAGTTTTGCTTTCATAATAGTACCATTAATTGCTTAGGAAATCATGTTACTTTACTGTAAAAATGTTATCACATAAACTTACTAGCTATCAGTCTATGTAACTTAGAATGGTCTACAAATGACTATGTTAAAATGAATGATTTTAAAATTGAGACTTTCCTTAGCTTTCATAAATAGAATCTTTATTTTGAATTTTAAAAAGTCCAGGAGTTTCTATGTTATTTCAAGGAGGAAAAAAAACATAAATGAGTCCTCCCATGAAAAAGGAAAAGATAAGTAACTTAGTTTGGAATGTTTAATGCTTATAGAATTTGGTTCTGAGCATCACTTAGTTATTTATGTGTTTCTTAACATCCCTGAAATTACTATATTCAATTCAGTATGCTTTTGTTCTTTAAAGATTCTGACCAAAATAACAGAATTTATTTTCCTTTATTATCTTTATTCTTTTGTTTTAATAATTTTATTTATTTATTTATTTTCCCCCCAAAGTCCCAGTAGATAGTTGTATGTCATAGCTGCACATCGTTCTAGTTGCTGTATGTGGGATGCGGCCTCAGCATGGCGGGAGAAGTGGTGCACCGGTGCGCGCCTGGGATCCGAACCCCGGCCGCCAGCAGCGGAGCACGCGCACTTAACCACTAAGCCACGGGGCCGGCCCATATCTTTATTCTTAATTAAAATTTTTGTTTTATTCCTTTACAAATTCAAGCACTTACATTTAACTATATTAGATAATATGTTTATTGAAGAATAATACCTTTAGAGCTGCAAATTATAGATTTGATATGAGCCCAGGATCTCTCTAGAATGGATTAAGATGTGAAATATGTCAAACTTTTAAAAACATATTTTTACATTTAAAACTTAAACTTTGTATATTTTTGATGGAGCAGAGATCTGAACCTAGGCAGTTTTACTCCACAGCCCAAACTCTGAACCACATTCTGTTTTGTTTTTTTTTATAATTTTATTTATTTATTTTTTCCCCTCAAAGCCCCAGTAGATAGTTGTATGTCATAGCTGCACATCCTTCTAGTTGCTGTATGTGGGACGTGGCCTCAGCATAGCCAGACAAGCAGTGTGTCGGTGCGCGCCTGGCATCGAACCCAGGCCACCAGCAGCAGAGCGGGCGCACTTAACCGCTAAGCCATGTGGCCGGCCCTCACATTCTATATCTTGAGATTGACCTTAACTGAGTTTGGTAGAAAGAGAGGCATTGTCACCTTTATTTTATTTCTACAAAGAAAGAAACTCAGAGAAGGGTTTAGTTTCACAAAGATGACGACTTATCAGTAACTTTGGGGATGTTATGTCATCCACTATCAAAAAAAGATTGCTTAAGGCATCAATTCAAGAAAATAATTTTTAACATAGAATTAAAAATACAATGACTAGTAACTCCTTTCTCTACCAAACCACCAGACATGTTTCTGTAAAAATAAAAAGCCATAATTATTAAAATGTCCTCACAAAAACATAATAATATATTAAGAAAGAAAACAAAAATTAAAAAAAAAAAATTAAAGCATAGTGCTGGAAGTAAACTTCAACCATGTAATGAAGGATGAGCTAAGAATTATAACTTAAATTATAAGTTATACAATATAAGCATCAAGATAGATGACCCAAGCATCTAGATAGATGACCCAAGGTTAGGAATATAAAGCCTTAGCAAAAGATTATATATATAAAAATATAATTTATACAGAGGAGGACATATATACTAATATATATTTATGTATAAGAATATAATTATATATTTATATTTATTGATATATTTAATATGATTATATATTAATATGTATGTATATTATATAGAATATATAATGTATATTATATTTCATTTAGTATATGTTATATATTATAATGTATCATATATTAGAATATATGTGTTTATTGGTATATGTCCTCCTTCCTGTAAATACTTCTCCGTGATGGTTGTGCCATAAGAGCTTGGACAGCTTGGCTTCTGTCTCACACGTAGGACTTTGCCCCAAGATGCAGACCCATCTTAAGGAGTAACAATTATGGCCAACCTTGAACAAGCTTATTTAGATATGTCTCAACACAAAATACATTTCTATGCTCCCAAGTTTTCCAACATTTTAGGAAGCAGCTAAAATAAATATTATTCGAGGAGACTGAGAGCTTACAGTCTGAAAGAGACAGACAGTGTTGCACATCTGATGAGGGTCTTGAACCGTGGAGTGACAACTTGAATTTTTCCTTTTCCTTTTCTCCATCTTTACTCCTCTTCTTCCCAAGGTCTTTTGCATCTGCTTTGTTGAACATATTAAAAATATATAATAAATCTTTTAACTACAAAATCTTGTTTTATAGTTAAAATACCTATATTTTTTATCCAGTTATATTGAAAAAAAGGCCAGGGCAATAATATTATTTAAATGTAAAACAATAGCCACAAATTTCCCCAAACACTACTCACTTCTAATTAGAAACATTAAAATAAAGCAAGAGCAAACTTTGAAAATTGACATGTACTGTGAAAGATATGTAGCATTATTTATTATTTATTATACATAATCTTATGGAAAATGGAGATGACATTTAAATATAATTTATTTATATAAAATTATAGTGTCAGGCTAATTTTATCATCTTAAAAACAAAGAACAGCAGAGCATGTACTTAAAGTCGAGTCCTAAATGTGAAGCCCTCTCAGATCTTCCTTATTTGGGGCCTCCATCTCAAGGAAATGCAACTTCCTATTTCCAGAATGTCTTCTGGTGGAGCCTGGATGGCAACCAAAATCCACAAACCAACATCTTATTGCTAACCTGACTTATGTAGTAAAACCTTGTACCCAGGACTATTGCACCATTTGAATTTCCATTCATATATACATTTCTATGAAACAGGTTTTCCTTCAACTTAAAAAAATCTTACAAGATTTTTTATTCCCTAACAACGTCTTTCCAATTCTGAAACAGAAATTTCAGATTTCTGCCATTTCATTCTTTTGTCATCTGCTAAATTTGTAATTACCATTGGTCAGATTGTTCACTTTTTTAATTTGCACAAATAAATACTATAACATTAATAACTTGTAACATTCCTTAGCTTCTAAAGTTGTCGTATATCTTAGCTTTTAGAGTAGATTTATCATCTATATTAGATACAAGAGTGAAGATAACTGTAACTTTAAGCACAGGATGAGACACTTAACTGGGAAACTAACATATAGAAAATAAGTTATCAGAATTTTATTTTATGGGTTTTCTATAAATATTTGACAACTCAATAAAATTAATTTTAGATAGCAATATATGATTTCATGTATGACTTTAAAATAGGACCTTAAAAGCCTTCAAACTCCTATTCAGAATTCATAACTTAGAAATAAAATAATAGTAAAAATTATAAATAGAAAAAATATACAATTTCACATAGAAATTTGGATAGTATGCAACACTGTTTACCAAAATGTGTTTTTGCCTACACCCTAAATAAATGTGTCGCTCCTCTCTCATTTCATCCCTCCAATCCAGCAAACCTCACTCTGAATAAAATTAGCAGCTGAGTCCTACTGCAGATAACACCCCCCTAGTTCTGCAAATCTCTGCCATATCTATTTTAAATCACCATGAGAACCTTCGTCTTTCACCTCCACCTCACTCTCAGCTCATGGATAGACTGCCTATAAAGAGAGAAAATAGAAGCGTTTTGTCAGAAACCCTCAACTTCTCCCTAATGAACCCATTCACCCACTGACATTTGCATCTATCCTCTTCCATGCCCTGGGAACACCCGGTAGAATGAAGAAGCTGTTGGTCCCCTGGGTTGGTCCAATCCCTGCATCCGGGATCTCTTCATCCTGTTCTTCCTGCCTGCTCAGGAAACGTACAATATTGCTGTCATTTCAACTGTCTTCTCTCAATCATCGCTTAAAAATACTCAGTTCTCCCTCAGTAGATTAAAAATATAAATACCCTGATTGGGTCCACATACCCCTGTCAGCTTCCACTCGGTAGCTCTCTTGTTCTTCACAAACTTCTAACAGGGTTGTTTGTACATTGTTTCACCCTCCACTTACTTCTTAACCCTCTCCAATATGTCTTCCACTCCCACTTTTCACCATTGCCTAATGACTTCCACATCACAAAATCCAACAGAGAACTTGGTGTTCTCATCATATTCCAACCCTCACTATTTGACATGGGCTCTCTCTCTGATTCTTGAAACAGTCTCTTCCTTGGACTTCAATAGCAACATGCTCTGCTGGATTTCTTCTTGCATCCCTTAGCCTCCTCTGCCAGCTCATCATTTTGTACCTAGCTCTCAGATGTTTAGCTTCTTGAAGGCTCAGTCTCAAGCTCCTCATCTTCTCACTCTCTGCTGTCTTCTCGGGAATATCATCCATAGTTTAATTTCACAGGCATTTCTCAGTGATTCTCAAAGGTATATCACCAGCCTCAAACCTCTGACATGAAAAGTCCAACTGATTTTCTTAAAAGGCATCTCATATTCAATGTGGTCAAAATCATTTTGTGATCTCTCCACATGAAGTCATTCCTCTTTTAGTATTTCCCATCTCAATTAAAGGTACCACACTTTTCACTTTTTAAATATCTCTCAAATCATTCTCCTTATTTGCAACTCCACCATGACTACCCTACTACCCTACTCCGAGCTACCATCATCTCTGACACGAGCTGATGTGACAGTCTCCAAACTGTTTTTTCTATATCCACTCATGTAACTGAGCTTCCCAAGGTCCCTGACCCCACTCCCACCCCAAGGTCTCTTCTTTTCACAGAACCAGAATATCCTTTGAAAATGTGAATTAGATCATGACTCTATTCTTAACTCTTCATTAGCTGTCAATTGCTCTTAGGATAAAGATCAATAATCTTAACATGACCTAGAAGATTTGATACGATCATTCTCCTACCTACTTTTCCAGGCTCTTCTCAAGTCACTTTATTCCTCACATCTTCTCTAGCTAAACACATCTTCTACCTTGTCATTCCTCCTGCTGCCTCATAACCTTTATATCTGCTATTTCCTCTACTTAGAATGCTCGTCCTTCCCCAGTCCTGCAACTTTCTCTAGATATCCCTCTTATCTTTGCAAATACAGTTCAAAATTCCTTAGGGAATTCTTCCCTGATGTCCCAGACTAGGTGCCCTATATGAACTCCCATAGTTTCATATATTTCCCTTCAAGGCTCATGTCTTAGTATATGGTTATGATTTTTTTAATTAATGTTAGACTCTCTCACTAGATATAAGCTCTAGGAGGTGAGTTCCACATCTGATTTTGTTTACCAAGTTATCACTAATTCCTGGAACACTTATCGGTATTCTACTAAGCAAGTAGTATATTTGAATGGATCGATGGATGTTAATTTCTGATACACGAGAAAGGGCTTCTAGGTTCAGATTAATTTGGGATATATTGGATAAAACAAATTTGTTTAGGCTTCTTTTTTCACTTTTATAAATTAATGCACATTAGGTCATTTCAAGAAGGGCAGATATCACTCACTTGATTTTAGTGTATTTTTGAGGAAGATTTACAGCAAAAATTTCTGTACAGTATACTGTGGGAAATGCTGGTAGATAAGATCTTGATAAAGAATAGTTCAGACAATATATCAATTTTTTATAAAACACAAATATTTGAAAGATCATTATAGATGCTATCAAGGTATACAAAAAAGCTTAGTATTGTCTAGTGTATTTAGTTCTACTTTACTATACAAGCATTATTGTTCATATGTATAGCTATATGAAATACTTTAGAAAATATAAATTAAATAATTATTCAATATATTCCCCACTTTAAGAAGAGAAATAATGCTACACTTTGTAAAATAACTTGAAATTTTTTTTCAAATTTGGACTTCTACCTTACAATAAATGGTTAGCAAATCATAATTTAATCTGTGTCCATTTCATATTTTCTGAAACAAACAGCATAACATTTCTCCTCTGCTATTTTGATCTATTCTACTCTACATATAACATATAAGAAAGATGTGATTGATGGAAATTGAAAACTTAATGTCTCCTTATATATTAATACTATATTAATTTAGTATCATCAAAATAGATAACTGCCTTTGATTTTTAAAGGGAGTAAAATATGGAATATAATTAACATTAGTAAACACTATTATAAATTCTAAAATCTTAGAAAGGAAGGATCTCAATTATTTGCACAACACCTAATAAATGATAATGAAAATAAAGAATCATTAAATTCAGCAATGATTGTAAAGTGTTTATATACAACATCCATATTGAATAACATTGTGATATAAAATGTCTTACCCTTTGGAACTTTGTCACTTTTTTCAGGTGCCTTTAGTGTTGTTGTTGAACTTTCAGATCTGAATTCTTTGCCATCTTTCACTTCTTTCCCTGATTCTTTTAATTTGGTATCTATCACTGTTATTTTGCTTTCAGAGCTGGATTCATCTGACAGCTTAAATTCAGGTAATATTTCTTTCAAGAGCTCCCAAACTTTGTCCATATATCCTGGGCTTAGATAAAACACAACAACATTAAGCTTCCAAATTAAGCTTTTTACTCCACATCAAGCAATTACCTACAGAAAAAATCAACTTGCTATTTCACAAGACTAATTCCAATAGTTACTTCAAATTTTAGTTAAAAACGCCATTAGGCATTCAATCATTCAACGAGGTTTGATTGAGTGCCTGCTGTGTGCTGGGCTTTCCTGATGCAAAGAGGCTAGACATGCAGTTCTAGTTCAAGATGGCGACATGGGGAGATCCTGAACTCCCCAATTCCCTTGGACACACCAAATCTACAGCTACATACAGAAAAATTTCCTCTGAGAAAAAACAAAAACTAGGTGAGCAGCTCCTATACATCTAGAGAAAAAACCCACTTAGATGCAGGTAAGAGAGGCTAAGATACAGTGTTGCCACAAACCCCACTCCCATCATGGTGACCAGGAATTGGAGGAAACTCACAGCCCTGAGCTTCTCCCTGAAGAGCAAAGGGTTTGAAGCTCACATGTGGCACCTCAACCTGCACTTAACAGATGAGCCTCAAAAATGATGCCTAGCTTTGGAAGCCCACAGAGCTTGCATCCACAAGACCCATGAGGCTATAGCAAACTCAGAGTTCTTATAAGGATCACACAACTCACCCACCCCAGGGCCCAGTGCAGAGGCAGCATCCAAAGGTTGTGAAAGAGGTTATTTGCTTATCTTAAAACATTGGTCTGAGGGGCTGGCTACTAATTAAACACACATCTAAGGGACAACTGTAATCTCTTTAGAGGCCTTGGAGGGTGGGCACTATCTTCATGTTCTCCCTCTGCCATTCTCTGGAGGGCCAGTATCTCTTGGAGGTGAGCTTGTGTACACATCTGGTGCCCTAGGTTTTACATCTGGTGCCCTGATTTTTGCAGCTGCCACCCAGGAGATGCCTCTTGACCAAATGGCTCTAGTGGTCAGCAGGGCTTGCACTCATGGGTCCTGCAGGACAGTTATAAACAAGAGACATGGTTCTTAACCAGCTCCCCACCACTCCCGCCAGGGCATGGTGCAGAGATGGCAGACGGAAAGGTACCCTTATTCTTTCTGTGAAAGAGGTCTATTAGCTTATCTTCACAGCTGTGGCCTGAGGGGCAGACTTCTAATTAAATGTACATCTAGGAGCCAACTACAATCCTCTTCGGTGGGTGCCATTTTTGTGCTCTTCCTTGTCAGTGCCTCCAAGAAAGGAGGTTGTGTAACCATCTGGTGCCCCACTTTTGTGTCTACAGCCCAGAGAACACACCCCTTGAAAGCATGGCTCTGATGGCCAGTGGGGTTTGAGTTCACTGGTTCAATGGGATGGTAGCAAAGAAAGACAAAGTTCTTTTTTTTGTTTTCTTTGGCGAGGAAGATTAGCCCTGAGCTAACATCTGTTGCCAATCCTCCTCTTTTTGGTGAGGAAGATTGACTCTGGGCTAACATCCGTGCCCATCTTCCTCTACTTTATATATGGGACGCCTGCCACAGCACGGCTTGATAAGCAGTGCGTAGGTCCACGCCCAGGATCCAAACCTGCAAACCCCAGGCCACTGAAGCGGAGCATGTGAACTTAACCACTACACCACTGGGCCGGCCCCAGAAAGACACAGTTCTTAACTGAATATCATCCCAGGGCTTAGCACAGAGGGAGCAGACAGAAATGCCCATCTCTTAGTCTTCCTCTGAAAGAAGTCAATTTGCACACTTTAAAAACTGTTGCCTGGAGGTCTAGCTTCCAATCAGCCTGAGTCTAGGTGCTGATTGAGCTCTTCCCCTTTGGGACACTGACAGGTCTTGGCCCACCTTCGATCACTGGGAGCCACTAAAAATATAGTAGGCTGCTTTGACCATCACACAGGTTTAAGAGACAACCAAGAGCTAGGGCAGGGTTGAACAATAAGGTTCATCTCCTATAGGAGGCCACTTCTTCAAGAGTGGCAGAGGTGGCTGTTTTATCTAATGCATAGAAATCAATACAGAAAGTCAAGGAAAATGATGAAACAAAGGAATATATTCCAAACAAAAGAACAAGACAAAACCTCAGAAAAATACCTTAATGATATGGAGATAAGTTATTTACCTGATAAAGAGTTCAAAATCGTGGTCATAGAGATGCACACCAAGCTTAGGAGAAGAGTCGACAAACAAAGTGAGATTTTAACAAAGAGACAGAAAATATAAGAAAGTACCAAATAAAGTAACAGAGCTGAAGGGTGTAATTAATAAAGTGAAAAATATAATAGAGGGGTTCAACAGCAGACTAGGTGAAGTAGAATAAAGGATCAGTGAACTTGAAGACAGGGCAGTGGAACTCACCTGATCAGAGTAGCAAAAAGAAAAAAAGAATGGAAAAGAGTGAAGATAGCTTAAGGGACTTATAAGGGACTTCACATTATAGGGGTCCCAGAAAGAGAAAAGAGAGGAAAAAAAGGGAAGAAAACTTATCTGAAGAAATAATAGCTGAAAACTTCCCTAACCTGGGGAAGAAAACAGACATTTAGATCCAGGAATCCCAGAGATTTCAAACAAGATGAACCCAAAGAGACCCATATCAAGACATATTAAGATTAAAACATCAAAAGGTAAAGCAAAAAGAGAATCTTAAAATCAATAAGAGAAAAATAACTTGTTAAGTACAAGGGAACCCTCATAAGACTAACAGCAGATTTTTCAGCAGCAACTTACAAGCCAGAAGGGAGTGGCACAGTATAGTCAAAGTGCTGAAAGAAAAAACTGCCAACCAAAAATACTCTACCAGACAAGCTGTCCTTCAGAATTGAAGGGCAGGTAAAGAGTTTTCCAGACAAGCAAAAGCTAAAGGAGTTCATCACCATTAGATTAACCTTAAAAGAAATGCTAAAGTAAGAGCCAGCCCAGTGGCATAGTGGTTAGGCTCACACACTTTGCTTTGGCAGCCTGGGGTTCACAGGTTTGGATCCTGGGCACGAACCTGTGGACCATGCATCAGGCCATGCTGTGGCAGTGTCCCCATATGCAAAACGGAAGAAGATGGGCATAGATGTTAGCTCAGGGCTGATCTTCCTCAACAAAAAGAGGAAGATTGGCAACAGATGTTAGCTTAGGGCCAATCTTCCTCACCAAAAAAAAAAAAAGAAAGAAAGAAAGAAAAAAGAAACGAACTTAAGCAAAAACAAAAAAAAAAGAATTAATAACAAGAAAAAAAACAAAAAAAACAATCAACCTCCCAAAAAAAAATAAATAGAAAAAAAAAGAAGAAAGAAACAAACAAAATAAAGGGAGTGAATCAATCACATAGATAGCAAGAAAGAAAAAGAAAAAAAAAAAGAAAAAAAAATAAAAATAAAAAAAATATTAATGAATACACAAAAGAAAAAAAAATAAATAAAAAAAAAAAAAAAAAAAAAAAGGGCGGAAGGAAAAAAAAAGGGAGTGAGAAAGAATGAAAACAAAAGTAAGTAGCAACCAAAAATAAATACATAGAAATAAAAAGAAGTTGGTATAAACAACAAGCAAACCAAAAACAAAAAAAAACCGAAGATACACACAAAAAAAAGAAAAAGAAAGCAAACCAAACAAATAAAGAAAAAAAAACAAACAAAAAACAAAGAAAGAAAGAAAAAAAAAAACAAACAAAAAAAAGAAAAAAAAAACAAAAAAAAAACAACAAACACGGCCCCCCCCCTGACCAAGCAAGTAAGCGCGCGCCATACAGACGGCCCACCCACAGACACAGCCCACGCACCAACCAACCCACCCCCTCGCCAGCCAGACGCAAGCCACCACACACAGAAACCAAAAAGAAGGACAACCAACAAAGACAAACAACTACCGACGCGGGAGGGAGAAAAAAAAAGAGGAAGGACAAGAAATAGAAGCTAACACAGAGCCGGCCTCACCAAAAAAAAAAAGAAGAACAAGCATGGAAGCTAAAGCAAGACCGACCTCACAAAAAAAAAAAAAAAAAAAAAAAAAAACAACAAAAAAAAAGGAAGTAAACACACACCAATAAATAACTAAAATAAAACGAACGAAATAAACTAACCAAAAAAAACACACAGACTGAAAAAAAAAAAAAAAAAAAAAAAAAAAAAACACACATATATAGCCTAAAAAAAACACACTCAAGACAGAGGCACACACAGAAAGAAAAGAAAGAAAAAAAAAAAGATAATGCATGCAAAAGAAAAAAAAAGAAAGAGGAAGTAGATAAAACAAAAAAAACAGGAAGAAAAACAAAGAAAGAAAAAACAAACAAAGAAAGTAAATAAAGAAAAAGAAAGCAATCAAACAAAAAAAAAAATATATAAATAAAAATAAATATATACACAACAAACAAACAACCAAATAAATAGAGAAAACAAAAACAAAAAGAAAGGAAGAAAGAAACAGAAACAAAAAAAAAAAAAGCAACGCAAACAAACAACCCAAACAAACAAATAGATAAACCAGACAGAAAAAAAATAAAGAAACAAACAACGGCAATGAAACACAAAACAAAACAGACGGAACAAACAGACAGAAAAAACAATCCAAAAAAAACAAAAAAAACATACATCGAGAGAAAACAAAAAACAAGCGAACAAACAAGCAATCAACAAACAAAGAAAAAAAAAAAGAAAAAAAAAAACAAGAAAAAAAAAAAAGAAAAGAAAAAAAACAAAAAAAATAGGAGGCAGCAAAAAAAAGCACAAGAAAGAAGAAAGAAAGAAACAAAAAAGAAAGAAAACAAACAAACTAAACACACAAAGGAAGAAAAAAAAAAAAAAAAAAAAAAAAAAAAAAAACAAAAAGAAAGAAAGAAAAAACAAAAAAAAGAAAAAAAACAAAAGAAAGACAAACAAAAAAAAAAAAAAAAAAAATCAAACAAACAAAGAATTAACAAAAAAAACAAACAAATAGCTAGACAGACGAACAAAAAAAAAAAGAAAAAACAAAAAAAAAAAAAAAAAAAGAAAAGAAAGAGAAAAAAAAACACAAAACAAAGAAAAACAAACAAAAAAAAAACAAACAAC